TTGGAATATAATTTTCTCCTTCTAGTGACTGATATCAGCAGAGCTGTTACTGCATCTCAGTGCTCAGAAGTAAACTAAAGAAAAAAACCCTGCTTCATAGATGAGTCTCTTGTACTTCTCATTAAATATGTATTTCTCTTGGTCCTTCCCTTGCTAAGATTGCATGGGCTTCATTCTCAAACCTGTCCTTGCTGTTTGTCTCAGCATAGAACTTCTTGTGCCATCAATTTGCCTGCAGTTCAATTTTGTGAAGGGTTGCTCTTCCAACCTTCTGATGACTGTAGAGTCAAGAGGAAATCAGAGTATGGAAACAAGCCATTGGCAGCAAAAATTGCCATGACAGCCCTGGCCATCTAGCTTTGAGGTTTTGCAAACAGAGGAAGGAATGGTATTTCCATTTGTTTCAATGTCTTAACATTTTACAGGTGTCTGTAGCATTGGTAATGGCACAGCAGTGCATTTCTAGAGAGCAGCAAGTACCTGCATGAATTGACTTCTTGTCAGTTGGGTAACTCACACTGCCCTTATTTTTTTTAATCTATTCCTCCAATATCAACAAACTGATTTTCTCCAAGTTCCTATCCATAAAGAGGGAAGTGGGATGACTTCCACCATTGCCTGGAAGTCTGAAAATCGATGTCCTTGCTGCATTGCAGATATTCTGTATGATTTTGGCTGAGCTGTTTAATTACTTGTGTCTGTCCCCAGGGTGGGAAAGGGAGATGATAATGGTTTTCTAACCTGGGGATGTAATAACTTATTAATGTCATATGCTCTGGTGCTGTGACATGAGAATAAGGTATATCATGTTAGCTGTAAAATTGCCTTCTTAATGACCTCTGGTCTTATGCAACCTCTTCAGAGAGCTTTTCACATGTATGGATTCTTAATTTTTCAAAGGAGTGATGACTTATTGCTCCCAAAGTATAACCTTGTTTTTGTAGGTCTATCAGAAGCAACTTGGAAATCAAGTTCTTGTTGCATTTCCTTGCGAATAGCATATAGGAAAGCTTTAAGTATATCTGGGGTGGGCTAATTTCAGGGGCACAAAATCTAATTTAAAGGAAAAATCAATTTTCTTTGTGGTTTTGACAATGAAATGTTTGTTGAAAGCCTACAGGAGGATCTAATACAGCTTTTATAAATCTGTTGCAACTTGTGAAGGCCAATTAAATTGAAAGAAAGAGCAGAATAGTGCATGACTCATGTTGATTGTAGAATCAAAGACCTGAAAGATCACGCGTGTGGTGTTGTCCTCTTGAATGAGAAGGGAACCTGAAGCTGGGAGGTGAGGTGGCAGGCTTTTGTTGACACTGTTGCCTCTGCATAGAGCAGTGAATGTAAAGCAAAGGGCTTCAGCTGCTGCTAAGTGAGCAAACTGGTGTTATTCAGGTCACAGAATCACAGAATTGTAGGGGTTGGAAGGGACCTCCAGAGATCATCGAGTCCAACCCCCTGCCAAAGCAGGTTCCCTGCAGCAGGTCGCACAGGTCGGCATCCAGGCAGGTCTTGAACATCTCCAGAGAAGGAGACTCCACCACCTCCCTGGGCAGCCTGTTCCAGTGCTCCGTCACCCAGGTCAGCTAGATGAAGTATCCATACTGTTGTTCTGCTCCTGAGACTTGGGCTGTATCTGCACTATGTCACGCTCCTTGCATGTCTGCTAGCTTGTAGGGACTATCAGAGCTCTTCATGGTGTGGGATAGACATGCCCATAGTATTCTAGGTGGCAACTTCAGGCCTGTATTTCAGGTTTTGCTTGAGCATCAGATGGGATCTGGTACTGAGGAAGAGGGAGAGGACCATGAGCCATCTCTCTGCCAGCTGCTCAGCCAGCGAGCTGCAGATGTCCCCTAAGAGGGCTGCTCTTGGAAATATCATGTACAAACAATAATTAAAGCAATAACTGTTCTGAATCCAAATTGGTCGGAGCTGGCTTTGGAATGGTATTTTCTGCTGAATTTGAGGGGGGGATGGGAAAAGGAGAAAATGAAAATGAAAGCCATCTTTTCACAGAATGTTTTGTAAATACTGTGGATTTCTAAAGGAAAACTGGCCATCCAAAACACAGGGTGGTTTGGGTGGAATTTCAAAACCCACTTTTCAAATGTAAATGATATATAAAAATCCAGAGGAAAAAAGAGATTTTAATTCTGCAGTCTTTTTTCCCTATTCTGATCCAGTCAGATTTTAATCCCTGTAGGTATAAAAGAAGCTTTTGCAATAGAATGTTTTCTTCCTAATGGTGAGCCATCAGTCATTCTGTCATGTTGTATGCCAGTCTGCCCATTTTGTTTGGGATAAGCCAACTGACCTCAAGACAACGCAGGGACTAGTAAGAGGTGCCAAAACTGATGGGAGATGCTCAAGGCTTCGTGTTTGACACGACTAATGACACTGCTGATAATAGGGAAGCTGTGGTTTAGCATGGGCTTCCCAAAGAGCACATTGCCCAATGAAGGGGAAATGTTGCAACAGAATTAATCGCTACCTGGGAAACAATTTCACGCTAGGCTAGACAGGAATTTAAACAGGGCTAGTTCACAACCCAAGCTTTGATTGTCAGGAACAACAAATAGGAAGAAAAGATGGTTAACTCAAGTTATGAGCACGTGTCTGGTCTGTAAATCAATAGTTGCCTGCTGATCATAATTCCATGAAGCACTTCGTGCAGCAGTTCTGTGTAAGTGTGCAACTGGAGCTGTGGGGAAGGAGGGGTAATCAAGTACCAAGAGGGAGTGAATGAGGGGATATATTGGCACCTTGCAGATGTAGGATGCAGCACAAGGCTGAATGTATCTCCAAAATACTTAGTTTATCTGCTTGCATCCCAAGGGCTTTGCAGAGCACTTCAGTCTGTGACAGATGTTCTTGATAATATCCTCGGTTATTTGGAGGAGCGCAGATGGAAGAAACTTCTTAAAATACATCAGTTCGATGGATCAGAAGTTCACACAGTACTGACTTTGGGACTATTTTGATGCTTGCTGAATCTGTACAGCTTATTTTTTTGGATTAGGCTGCTGTATGAATCTTGTGCACTCAGCGACCGAAGCTGATACTGTGCAGATCTGTTTGGCTCTTGCTGAGGCAGAAGGAGGTCTTGAAGTTAGGGAGCTCAGCACTAAAAGAGATCTGTGACAGTGTTATAGGACCCAATGCAACAGCTGCTGCTTGTGGAAGGTTTATGGCCATGTTGTGAAGCAGGAGCTGTGCAACTCCAGGCTGTCATTCTGCACTTCAAGGCAAGTCCTCTGCACAAGTAGGAAATCTTTTTGGTGGGGAGGAAACTATCAGGCTATAATAGCATGTTTTAAACGGATGAATGGTTAGGTGCACACCTTGGCTAGCACAACAGGATGGTCCTTAAAGCTTCCTCTTAATATTTAAAGAGTACCTCAGCATCTCAAGAACGTATTTGCTGTCCTTCCTTGTGTCATTAATGTGGGAGAGTACATCAGGCAACTAGTTCCTCTATTAGATGTGCCTCCACTTAGAGCTGTGTTCGGTGTTTGTATTTCCTTTTGAAAGGCTGGATCTTTCAGGGGGAAAAAAAAAAAGTAGATGCACTTAGCTGTGCTATCTCCTGAATGAGGCAGAACAGAAGAGATGCTATTATGTGCCATGTACCTGTAGTTGAAAAGAATAGGTTATTTTAACAATAACTTTAAAGCTCAGGCAAGTGAAGTTTAATCTCTTCTGTTCATTATAGCCAGATGGGATATAGCCCCAGAAACTGCTATATTCTCCTTAGTAATGTGGTTGAGATTCAGAAAGGCAATGGCAAAAGCTGGTCGATGTCATTGCAAAGGAGAGGAGGGCTGATATTTCAACACTTGGAAGAAAGGAAATCTGCACAACTGCACACATCTTAAAATCTTCAAGCACTTTCTTCTTTATAGGTAAAGTTGTGGCACCTCTGGGAAGTAACAGCAGAAAAGATGAAGTTGCTATTGAGGCATTTAAGCCTATCAGAAATAATGGTTCTGAACTATTTCAGAGTCATTATTCTGGAGGGTGCATCAGTATTGTATGTAGAACTAGCATTATTTTCCTGCTCTTAGAGAATACTTCTGCTGCAGGGCATCTCTTCAGCTCCAACTTGCACAATATTGTTGCACAATACAGGCTGTACGTAACTTCCAGGAATAAATAGGCACCCAACCATCTCTGACTGGCAAAATAAGACTGAAAGGTCCCTGAAACCAAGATCATGTTGTTGTTTTGACTCGTTTAAAGAGGCTAATGGCAGTATTTCTGGAGATGGATATAATGAAGCATAAATGGCTGTTTCTCCTGGTCTGAGGCAAGTAGTACAATAGGGCACAAATGCAGGAAGAAGCTAACAGTAGCAAAAGTTGCTAGAGCTCATACTCTGCCTTGGTAACTGTCTTCAGACTGCTCTTGCCACATCCACCTGTCAATACATGTGTCCTGGAAAGCCAGATTCTCTTCTGAATGCTGTGGAAGAGCAGATTAAATATGCAGCACTTAGAATTGCTGGATTTGGTGTGTGAAGGAACAGTCTGGCACACAGGTGTGTTGTGTTGGTACTGTGAGCATCCTCAGCAAACCTTGTGCTGCCTGCAGGGCTGTTCTGTCTCTGCACTCAGGTAACTACACTGTCTGTTTAATATTTAATGGGTTTTTTTTGCCTTTCAGTTGAATTCCTGGTGGGGTATCACTAGTGTGAAGTCTCTGCTGCTGGCTGAACAGGCACGGTGGCTTCGTCTGTCCTGTTAGAAGCCATTCATCACTTTAATATCTGAATCTGAGGATTCCATTAGAATCATCAGATTTTGCCAGTACTTCACAATGAAGAGCAGCAAACTTGCTGAGTGCCTCTGATGGGTCATATGAGGTCCCTTAATATAGCGCTTTACAGCCTTTGATAGATTACCAGCCTGATGTTTTTGAAAGGCTGGGTTTTTTTTCCTTCCAAATGTCTTTTCACTCTATATTCTGCTGCTGGCGCTCACTGCAGTATTTTTTTTTCCTAGGCTTTGACACTTGTGCTGCTACTTTGGCCTTGGAGACTTCTGACACAGCCCAATTTCCTGAGCAGAGACCTGTTTGCAGGGCCTTGGCAGGGTTTGAAAGGCACTGCTGCTGCTCTCGTGTTGCAGGTTCAGCCTGGGTTTCAAGAGGATGCAAGAGGCTTCAAGAGGCTTTGTGGTTTCCTGAAGGGAAAGTGACAGGTGCCACATTTCTTTGTGCAAGTCTCTAACTGTGTCATGGCATTCCAGTACTTACCCCAAGATGAGTGATGATTGTACTAATTAAGAACTGAAGTGGAAGGATATGAGAAGGATGCAGTATGGGGTGTTTTCTAATAAAACTGAACTACTTTAGCAGCAGCTGATGCTGCTTTTCTCATGGCAGCCTTTATTTCCCTTGTAAAACCTAGAACATCCTTTCCAAAGCAGCTCTGGTGCTGAGAGGAGCACTTGAAGCTAAGGCTTGCTCTGCACTGCATTTTGCTCTCTGTATCCTACAGAAATAGAAGTTTGGGCTTTCTAGACTCGTGTCCTTTGTTCCTCTGTGGTTTGCTGCATGCTTTTGAATTTGTTACCTTGTCATAACTGTATTTACTGGGCGTCATTCTGCACTGTTACAGCATCTTATGCACATGCATGTAAAGAAGTGGGGGGAACATCAGCTGCACTCAACAGCTGCTTGGATCTCTACTCTCTGCAGACTGGCATTAAGTGACCACATTTTCCTGTATGTGTCAGACTGTGTACGGGTCTTCTGCTCCAGTTTTACACATAAAGAAAAGCTTATCTACAGGAACACACAAGCCCTGTTGCAGCTGGGTGGTTGACAGCAGCATTCCGGAGTGGCAGTGCTGCAGTTTTTCTTACAGTGGTGACACCTTTTATTTATTCCAAGAAACTATTTATTCACCTCTGCAACAGAGCTACAGCTGTGCTGTTACACCCCAGGTGTACTTTGCTCATATTTACATAACCCATCATTAACTCATCTACTGAATGAACCCTGATTTGAACATTGAGCACCATGCAGCTCACCTCCTCCTCCTACTAGGAGTTGAATGGAGGTGTTTATTAGTCCTATCTTGCTTGTCCTCCTAGAAGTAACTCATTCTGAAGAGCTTCCTCAGGGATGGTTTTGGAGCCTGCATCATTTATTCTTTTGCCACTGTTTCCCATGCAAATTTGCAGTATTTTTAGGAAGTTCAAGCTGAATTGATTCCCCCAGGTTTGCCAACAGATCAGTAATTGCTTTGGGGGAAGGTTGCTATTCACGGGGTCAGAAAACATTCCTCTGTTTTAAGTGAAGGAATATAAAATTAACGAGGCTGCACCCACTGGGAAAGTGACATGCCTGTTTGTTTTATTAACAGCAGACACAGTTTTATTAGGAAAAAATCAAAGTGGAAAAAGATCTGCTGGGACAAACACACAAGCATGACTCGAACAAGGTCAAATCTCTTATTATTCTGGTCTGATTACACCAGAGCTGAAAGTGAGCTGTGCTGTTGGGATTCACACCTGATCCATTGGTTAGTCTGATGTTCAGCATTCTCCTGATCCTGTCCCAACTTATCAGCAGTGTTTGTTTTGTTCCACTGGCTGATCCTATGCTAACGCTTGGCTGCAGTTGTCTGGCTGTTAAAACTCTGATGCATGCTGGCAGGAAATGCTTACTGTGATTCTTCTCTTAAACAAGAGATTGTGGAGGACTGGGGCCCTTGAAACTTTCTCAGGGAGAAGCCAAGCAATTCTTTCAGAGCACAGTGTGCAAACAATTTTGCCTTCTTTATGGAGAAATAGTAGGATCTTCCTGTACTGCTTTTCCAGAACGCTTTCTGTGCTGCCTGTAGGCATTGCTTTAGTCCACAGTGGAGCTGCAGCCAACCCTGCCTTCGTTACTGCGTGCACATTATTTTCTCTCTTTGACAAGCTCTCTCCACGTTTGCAGTTCTTCCTCTGGCCAATTTCAGCAGTAGGTTGGTGGGTAGCAATTTCTGGTCTCTGCTTTTATTTTTCTGAAGTTGGGTTTGATTGGCTGAGCTAACAAAGCAGTAGCAGCAGGTCAACATCAGTGATTACACTTTTATTGTCATAGCAATGATCAAAACATATCTGTTAACCCATGCCCCCCATATGCTTCCCAGACCCTGTTTAATACTGCAGTAGTGAAAACTTCAGAAGGTGACATCAGCTTTTCAAGGTGGTTTTGAATCTCCTTTTTGGTACCAAATCTGCAGTGATGCTAATCTGCCTCTGGAGGTGGAAGGCAGCAAGGGCACTGTGGGAATTGAAGGGTTGTGGGCAGTGGGATTAAAGAGGCTTTTAGCCTTCCTAGCCCTCTCTTGCTAAGGGCAGTGCAACCAAATATGAGGTTTGGAGCACTGCCTCACCAGAATGAAATTTCTGTCAATTGTGATGCAATTATGTAATTTAACAAACGATGCCTGAAGTCTCTCAGAGTGCAGCTATCTAAGAAGGCCCAGACGGCTTCACATCTGGTGATGAAGCAGGCTTTATGAAATTCTGGAAGCCCTGTGATGATGTCCAGGAGCAGAACTGGACTGTTTCATAACTGTCTGTATGCCAGAGAAAATGGGAAGCCACGTGAGAGTGATGCAAGGGAAGGGTTGGTCTGTTCTGACCCAGCCCTTGTCATGGGCACAGTAGTGGGGAAAAATGCTCTGGCACGGTGCAGCGTGTTCTTAGTTGGGTTTAGGGTAGGAAAATCTGTAGAAAATCCAGAATGTTTTGCTATTGATTTCTCTAGAGCTGGGGTTCTTCCCTCGCTTTCTTCCTCTCTGCTTTTCCCTGCTCTGCTCTATGCTGCCCATATCCATTGGTTGCTTTCATTGGGGCCATTGGAGGCTGTGTGGGGAAGCGGTGCTGCGTCTTAATCTAAATTTGCCTGGAGATCTTTCTGTTATTCTGTGTTATAAGCGTTTAATTTCTCTTCTCTCTCTCGGAAGTTTATTGCCTTTGTAAATTCACCATTTAATTTTGTTAGTTTGGTAGGGATAAAGCTTAGCATGCAAAACAGCATGCAAGATAAAGCAGCGGTGCAATTTTACGCTGCTGTTTCACTGCTGTTGTTTCCTCCCAGAAGAGGAGAGTCTTTCATTTATCCACGAAGGATGGCTGAACGTTACGCACATGCTGGCACCTGACTGCAGTGGTGCATGCACAAATTTTGTGGTCCCTTGTTTAAACCTCACAGCTTGTCCTTCAGCACTAATAATAATAAGAAAATAGGCTCTGTGTCACTGCAGCACCTCTGAGAGCATCTGCAGCTCTGTGCTGAGGAGCATTAGTGCCTTGTGATGTTCTGCCCTGTGTTAGCAGGTGTTTGGGATTCAGGTACAGTGGGGTATTGCAGCCACCTGTAAGCTGATGTGAGTTATGGACGGTGTTTACTGGCATCACTAGGAAGGATTTGCAGAGTTTGAGGTTTTGTTTTAATAGTGTGTGTATAAATATGTGCATGAATTGATGTATGAAAGCTGTGGCCCAGCTTTGTGGCTCTAAAGGGGAAATATTAATGTATTAATCCTCAGGCATTTAAGTAGAACTATCTGTATAATAATAATAAGGAAAAAGGAAGTGGATGGGAGGGAGCTCCACCCTGAGCAATCCATGTCATTCCTGTCATTTTGTGAGACAAGTGGTGGCTTGAAGTAGAAAACTGCTTGTTTGTGTATAGCAACAAAAGGCACTTTTTGATTTAAACTTGCAGATCTTTTCCTTTTGCATTACTGAGAAATCTCCTGAAGCTGTTGAAGAAGTCTTTTTTTGTGTGTGTGTATGCAAATGCAAGTAATGAAACCATTCTCCATGTGATTCCTGCTTCTTGCCTCTCCCCACTGTTCTGAGCCCTTTGTGTCTCCCTTCTCCTCTCCCTTCCCCCCCTCCCCAAGAAGACGTGGTGTGAAATGAGATTTGCAACTTTGGATATTTGCTTATTTTTCATTTAGAAAGTGGACATTTTATGAGGTTTGATGGCTGGGGGAGATTGCCTGTGTGAAATGGTAACTAATTCCGGTGTAACTGATTGCACTTTTCAGCAAGGTGAGATGTCTTCCCTGATACTTTAGATGAAGAACAGGTAGGCACACACACCTTTCCTGCTATAGGTAGGTACTGATGCTTCTTACACATCGAGCAGTCAATTACTATTGGCAGTGAGCTGAGCAGAACTGATTTTTGGTGTTCCAGTCAAGAGAATCAGGGCCTTTCTGCTTTGTGAAGACACCTCTAAGCTGAGTGGCTGTTTTAGGTTTGACCCCACAGCTCAAGAAAGTTTGGAACTTGTTCAAAATGCAGTCATGTCTGCTGAAGCAATAGGAAGTTGTTGGTCTGGAGAGGATGAATACATCGGTGCTGGAAGCTGCATTAGTGTGTATCCCAAAGGAATGGCTGTGCCAATGCTTGCTAATCCTAAATGCATGCAGCTGAGAAAAGGGCACACCTATTTATTTTCCTTGCTGGAGACTCCTTCAGGTATTTGCACGTTGCTTCCAACAGCTCAGGTTTATAATTCAGTCTGCATTTATTTGCTTCTTGACAGAAGATAAAGTAATAGCAATGCTCTGTTTTCTTTCTAGCCAGGAATAGATAGCTGCAGCTTACCCTCTGGTATAAACTGTGCAGGGTTTCGTGGTGCTTCAGATGAATGATGCTGCTGCTCTGTGAAAGTAAATCCTGGTGTCCTGGAGTGAGTCTCAGGTTGTGCTGCTGTTTGTTTCTGTAGCAGCCCAGGAAAGGAGTGCATCAAGCCAGATTTGTCTTCTTGCTGATGCCAGAAGTGGCTGTGGCAGAGACAGATGAAGTGGGCTGATTGAAAATCGATGCAGACCCAGCAGATGTCAGAATTTGGGCTGAGAGGTTTGGAGTTGAGAGCTGGGGAGCCTGGATGACGAGGTAGGACTTTGTGCTGTAGCAGTGAGTGACGCACAGTGAGGTACTGACCCCTGCAAGCTCTGTTTCAGCAGGTCACAGGGAGCACCGACCACATCTGAGCACCAGGTTTGTGTTCCATCCCCCACATGAACCATCAGCCATGCAGCAGATGCATTCTTTTCCTTTGTCTTGCATGGTTGTGGCCTGTGAGTTACCTGTGCACGGATCCAAGAATTCCACAGTTAATTAGGGAAGTGAAAATGAAGCAGAAGTGAAAATGCCTGAGTCTTCCCAATTTTCTCTCCTTTTCTGCCTTCCATTGCATCTTCTGTCTTCTCTGAACTTTCTGAAGTACAGGGGGCAAGCAGGTCGAAAATGGGAAGAAAATTAGAAGCACTTGGCCTGGTGCCTGCCTTTACACTGTGTTGATTAGGTTTTAATTGGCAATTCTTGCCTGTAATATAAGATAATTGCAGAGATTTCCAGGAATTGTTTGTAGAATAGGAAGAAACAGACATATCTGAGTTGTACTGGAGGAGCTTAATTAAAGACTTTATAAAGTGCAACAGATGGTGCTTTGCTAGTTAGAAAGACAGGCGTGAGCCCTGTTTGTGGATGTTCTCCCACCATGGTTAGGGCTTAGTTTATTACCATCTTTCAAGGTTTTTTTGACAAAAGGGCTCCCCAATAATTCCATGTGAGCCTCCAGGCAGCCTCATTCTGGCTCTTGCCTGCTAGTGGAATTGCATCAGCAATGAAACTTGGAAGACAGAAGAGTATTTTTCCTTCTTTTGCCAGTAATTGATCTGTTTCCAAAGCCCTCAGTAGTATTGGGCTTCTGTAGGTTCTCGAAGCAAAGAGAGGATATGGTGATTTATAGGGAGAAAAAGGATCTCTTTGCAGTTTCCACTGGAGCAGGTGCTGAATCTTGAATTTTTTATGTTACTTTTAAAAGTAGGAGAACACTTTTTAAAAACAAGGCTGCTCTGAAGTAGAGTGTGCATGAAATGGCTTCGGGATATGTTCTGCTTGTTTTGCTCTTGCTGCAGAGCTACAAGTTCTCTTTGCTCCCCAGCACTGCCAGTGCTTTCACAAAGTTTAGTTTTGTGTTTCATCAAAGGGTATTTCTTGGAACAGGAAAACTTAGCTAGAAGACAGTGTGTGTTACAAGGGAGAACGGGGTTTCAGGAAGAATTCACTTGGCTTTTTCAAATTCCAGGAAGAACCTGACATTGCAGAACAAACAGTTTGCAAGAAGGAAATATTTCATGTAGACACTGAAGAACAACTCTGTGACCCTGTGGGGTTATCTTTCTGAGCAGCCAGACAGACGTGCAAGATGATGACAAAGAGACTTTCAATCTCCCTGCCCACGTGATGCTTGGAAGGTATACATTATCTCTTGTTTAAATGAGTTTTCTCTTTTTAGCACTAGCACTGTAGGGTATTTTCCACTGTTGTACCTCTCGAGCCATCTCTCTGCTGTCTGGTGTTCATTTCACTCCAGGCTCTATTGGAAAGTGATTACGTGGGGGGGATTTGGTTACATTGGGCATCAGCAGAGGCAACACCAGATGTTCAAGAAATGTTTTCAGCATAACATCTGAGCATTTCTTTAACAGTTGTTTACCAGCCCCATGGCTGATGCTTTGAGTTGGCTGATCTTGTTCTGTAGCCTTAGGACCTTCCTGACAGGTGAGTGGATAACTTTCTTATTCAGACAGACTTGTTGTTGTATTAGTGCTGACACTGTTACCTTCTGAAGGCTGTAAGGCATTAGAGATGACAGTTGTTTAGCTTGCTGTGGTTATAAACTCTTGGGTCTGGCTGCAGTTCTTTCAAAAACATGAGTGTTTTTTTTTTGTGTTTTGTTTTTAATTAATTCATGGGAGGAAACAGGCAGAGAAGGGGGGAGGCTTTCACCAAGAAGAGCTAATTCTTAAAACACAGGAAGGAATCAAATGTGACAGTTTTCAGGTAACAACACAAAGATGCTCATTTGAGTGCAGAACAGACAGCTTACTCTGAGAAAGAAATGAATAAATAAAAATAGAATAAATTAGATATATTTTCTTCTGCTTTCTTATAGGGACCTCTTCCCCCTCACCAGAAAGCAATGTAGACTGCCAGACCCAGTGTCTCATAGACTGCAAGCAGGGACATTACTACACAGCTGGCAACTGTTTGGAATGTCCTACAGGCTTCTAGTAAGTCTCCTTCCTTCCCCTTCTCTCAGTGCTTCTTGCAAATAAGCAAGTTAAACTTTGGGGCATTTGCAGCATTCTGTTAGGCTGAAAAAATTCGGAGAGCTGTCTTGTAATGTATAAAGTGTAGTGCTAGTTTCTCATAGAAATAATCAGCTGACCATGAAGACCACTGTCTTTGGAGCAGAGGTGCTTTCTGGGGCTTTCTGCAGTGATTGGAGCATTCACAGCTCCCCTTGTAATCAGTGATTGTTCTTCCTGGGAAGCGTCAGCTTGACAAAACCAAGTTCCAGTTGGAAAGCCATCCTAAACTACACTGTGTCATTGACTTGTGGTGGAATGCACTCCACCTTCCTCAGGAGAAAAACATGAAGGCTGCATTCTCTGCCACACCTGGCTCATTCAAATGCAGGTGGTGGTGGCCACCTCAGAATTGTCAGGTAAATCTCAGGCCAAGATTGCAAAAGACAGGTTGACTTGAACCCTAAGTTTAGGTTGCTAGGTCTCCTGCTGCAAATTCTGCCTGTAGATGTGCAGTCCAAGCATTGCATCTTATCTCCTGGAAGACTAAAAGTGTATCGGCTCCCTTTGAGATTCTGGAATGATCTGATTTGAATTCATCATTCTCTGTTTGAGTAGATGGGGGTGGTCTTGTAGCTGCATATGTTGGCTTTTAGGAGGTGGAAGAGGTTGGTTTTAAAGCTCTCGTTATTTTTGTTCCAGTTGCCCTGGGGGTCAAAAAGCTCCAAGGAAATGCCCACTGGGAACAGCCAATGAACTTCCAGCTCAAGTGGACATCACAGCCTGCCAGGTAAGCAGATGAGAGGGAAAGAAAGCAGGCAGGTGGAAGTAGTATTTTCCACATCTCTACATTTGCTGCCACATATTTTGAATCATCTCATTTCGAGCTTCAAATCAGATTTTTCAATTTGGCTTGAGATTTTTGGGGATAGAAATGATATTTGGCTTTGTTCTGCTCAGAGCAAGCCACGTGTCCATCCACATGGACAGTGTGCAGCACTGCCTTGATTCCTTCTTTACAGTACTGATGATGAAAAGTTAAGAGCTCTCTGGGAATGCTGTAAACTGAAGGGTTTGTAGAAGAGTTCTGTGAAGCATTCTGTGAATCTGTGAACTCTTCAAGGTGCGGAGGCCAGATGTTGAAAATGATCCAAGATCCTTTCTTTCTAACGTTTGAGCTGCACGTGTTCACGAAAAGAATACGTTTGTCTGGATCTGATGCTGCTTGTGGTTACACTGCAGGTCTGTCCTGAAGGCTATCTCAGCCTAGAGAATGGAGCTGGATGTCGTGCATGCCCAGATGGCTATTCGTGTGATCCACGTAGTGGTGTGCAGAGGAGCTGCAGTCCTGGCCAGTATTCTCCAGAGGGAGAGTCAGAGTGCCTGGGATGTCCAGAGAACCATGTCTGCCCAGATGGAAGGAGCAGGCAGGTACAAAAACAAGCATGTTGGTTTTCAAGGTCGACTTTTCTGAGAGGTGGGGCCTGAACATGAATGTCTTGTCAGGATGCACGTTTTTTATCTGAAATTGGAGATTGTAAGTGTTCAGATCTTCTGCTTTCCGTTAAAACCCTCAGCTGAGGACCCAAAGGAGCTTGGAGTGAGTTTGTTTCTAGAAATTAACCCTGAAGGACAGATCTGAGAGAGTGCTGGCAAGGAGGAGAAGGCAGAGAAGGAGGAAGCACAAGAAAGAATGCAGTACTTGTTCATGTCCTGACTCGGGTCTCCTTTGGACATAGCTTTGGGCATCAGGGGCCCATTGAGGCCATTGATGTGTGCTTCTGTTTCTTCCCCTTAGCGCTGTTTGGCCGGGCAGGAGCCAGATCCAAGCCACACTCACTGTGTTACCTATGCTCGTGGTTCTGTCTCAGCTGAAGACACGCTGATATGCCAGCCCTGTCCAGCAGGTGAGTGCATCTCATGAGCATCATCTTTAGTCATTAAGACAGAAATCGAAGGAGACTCCCTGTTACCAGGAAGAGTTCTCTTCAACATTAAAATCTGTCATGTCCTTTATACGTTCTAGAGAGTGAATACAAGCCTGCTGAGGATTTCCTAGCCTAAGGTTAGCTTTCTGTTGGGATCTTTTCCTGTGAAAAGCATGGGGCTTTGGTACACCCTCAAGGGCCTCCACACAAATTCTATTCCGTTCCTTTTTTGCAGTGCTTGGTAATAGGAAATATTTAGTGCTGCAGGTAGTGGTGCTATTACTGATAATTCCCTGCACGGAAATCAGGTTTTAATTCACATTTTCTACCCAACAGAACCCAAGAAATATGGGCTGACAGGACCAGCCTGATGTAGCTGTGATTTTGCAAAGGAATATTTAATGTCACTGCAGGGATGCTGTTCACAATCTGCAGTCCTACCAAGCCATCTCCTCCCCTCTAAGCCCTGTCTTGCATGTGAAGATGAAGTGTTTAATGAGCAGCTCCTCCTGCAGAGTCACTGAACCTAGTAACTTGATTCTTACATCTGTAATTAGAATCCTTTTTATTAAATAATGAAGAGTTCCTGTACTTTTGGATACCTTGCCTCCTAGTAGATGGAGAAATAGAATAGCTACAGAGATCATGCCAGACCAAAACCTCAGTAATTTATTACATCCAGCTATAATAATACACATGACAAAATAGAGGAGTTTGCTGTATTTCCAGTGTATGAGATAGTGTATGAAAATGTAGCAGATAAGTAAGCTATTGTACACAAGCTGTACATCAGCTTGTTGAGGGAAGTGATGATGTCTTTTTAATCATATAATACTTAATTATTTTTATGGTGTCCCATAGAGAGTCAGGGAACTTATCCTGACTCCATTAAAAATAACAGTCATCCAGGAAATGCTGTGTTCTTTTGACTTAAGGAACCATTTATAGACCATGCTTACAGAATAAGAGCTGTGGGCATGTCAGTGCATGGATTTCACAGTGACAGATTTGCTGCTGTATTATTGTTTACGACACAAGATCAACCAAAGGCTGAGGTCAGATTTCAGCTGAAGTGTATCACCAGCAGAACCTGGAGAGAGCAAGTGAAAATCTCTCAGTAGATGATCGATGAGGTAAATAGATGCTGTGTATCCAATGCTGAAATTCAATGTTTTGGTGTTAAAATTAGTCCTGTGTTCTAATGGGCATGTTTTCCATCAGCTCTTGTAAATCAAAGTAAATGATCCAGACTACTTGCAAATTTGGTAAGGAGCTTCAGTGCCATCACAAGCCAGAGAGGCTTGAGGATTCTCAGCGTTCTTTTGCACGGTTTGACTGACTTTAATTATATATAATCTGTGTACTTAAGTGTTGCGTGCGTGTGAGTGAAGAGTCATTGCTGTGCTGATACATGGCAGTATATTTCAACATAGCAGTGGCAGTTTTATTGCACAGTTAAATCCTTTTTTTTTTAACGCTCTTCAGATGATCCATCTGGAGTTTAGTAAAGCATTTGATATCAAGTCTTACAAAATCTTACTTGGGAAAAAATAATTCATTCTAGCTGAGCACGAGCATTTCATCACCGAGTGTACAACTGGCAGAAGGGTTTTAAGTGAGTTGTTCTAGAACATTGTTTGTAAACTACATGCTTTGTTCTTTTCTGTAGGTCACTTCTGTGCAGGCAGCCTTACAGACACTCCTCCATGCCCAGCAGGGAACTACAAACCCAAAGAGGAGATTCTCATGCCCAGCAGCAGCTCCTCGTTCTTACCTGGTGTGTGTCATAATATTTTGCAGTGGGAGTAATAATTCTTGCTCTAAATCACAGTGTGAAGTACATGTTTATGAAGGGATGATGGCTACAATGCTCATTTGCTTGGTTCTCTTTGAGGCTGTGCTAGAGCTGGATGGAAGGAACATGGAATCTCCTACAAATCACCAGACTGGCAGTGTAGCATCAATTAGTTATTAGCATTTTACAAAATACAATATGTTTGGGTTGTAATTTCTTGGGAAGAGATTAACCATGAAAAACAAAAGTCTGTTGAGAGAGGCTGCAAATAAACTGTGTCCTGCATGTGGGAGAGCTTTATTTATTGTCAGTAGTGCTGTCTTTTTATTGCTCAGCTGGCACTGTGCAACCAGTGCCCTCATCTACTCAGTAGGGTGAGCAAATCCCTGGGGCTACTGCATTTATCAAAGCTAAAGACAGTTTATCTAGAGGTATCCAAGCTGTAAAGTTAACCTTTCACATGTAGGACAGCGACAGCCAGGTTTGCAGCATCTTTTCTAGCATAGAGACTGAGAGGGTTTCAGAGTCTGTCTGTTTAGAGAGGTTCTGGAGAGAAATGTGCCACTGAAGGAATCGAGGTGAGACAGAAGGCGTACAGTTGGAGACAGAAGGGTGGAAAAAAATGGCATGGTAAATATAACCTTTCTTTCCAGACACTCATGTTGTAGTTGGGCCACTATGGAAGAATTTGCTGGTGCAGGGGGCTTGCAAAAAACAGAGCGTTTGGCATAGAGCTCCTTTTAAAATAGTTTATTTAAAGGGGAGAAGAGACAGCATATGTGTCTTGTCAGCATGCAAGATCACACCCAACACTGTGCACGAGTCATTGTGTGTGCAGTGTTGCATGGAAAATGGGTTAGCTTGATTCAATCTGCAGTGTCAAAGCTAAGCCCTCCAGCAAGCAGGTCACAGGAGTTTCTTTTTCTTGGTGTGTGAACGTAAGGAGGGGTCCACAGCTGTCACTCACCTGGCTGGATCCCACTGGATATCTGGTGCTTCCATATTTCTGCAGTATTCTTGCACTGAGGTCACTCCTGCAGTGACCCTCCATTAATAAGCAGGCTTATTTTATTCACCAGTGGCATCTGTTAGAACAGGAGATCAGTGATGCAGCCAGCAGCCTCTGTCATGACAGTTGTCCTAATGAATGACACCTCTAAGTGAAAGAAATCTTTCTGTTTTTAATGGAATGGACTGCATGAACAGCTGCCTGTGAAAGAGAGGACACCTTCATGAATGTGTGTGCAGCATGAGGACTGGGGGCCCAATCCAGGAAACTGTTGTTGGTTGGCAATTTATAAAGCATTGGTGAAAGTTTTTTGCTGTCTAGGTAAAAAGTTTCAAGCTGACAGAGCTGGAATGGGGATTTTTAGGGTCTGATCCTTTCTGCCTTTTGGTGCCAAACTTGAAGGATATCGTGCAGCTTTACTTTCTGTAAGAGACACAGCTGGCAGAACCAGGAACCAGATGGACTTTTCTTAAATAGAAATCCATCCCATATTAAATATGACCTTCAAAGGTCCTGTTATTAGCAGAACTAACGCTTGGAGTAGGTCTACAGAGCTGCTGCATCCACAGACGTTTACTGTCCACCTCATTGAACTCCTTGTGTGGATGTGGACCATAGCACTTACATGTCTACCCTGAGCAGAGATTTCTAAGAAGCTTCAGCAAAGAAAGAGGTGGTAATTGTACTTGCAATAGAAATAATTAAGAAGCAATCTGAAATTACGTGTTCAGTGTCATCCAGCAGGTCTGTTACAGAGTAATGTGGTAAAGTCAACAGAATGTCTTCCATTTTTGAAACAGATGCTCCATTTGTATGCATACGAATCAATCAAAATAATGTCAGCTCATTTTTGCAGCACGGTGAAATTGCACTACAGGTTAGTCAGAATTTTTTTTTTCTTTTAACAATAAATAAACACTGCAGTTTAAACTTTCAGAAGTTGTAGGAGCCACAGATGACGTTCTGATGTGTTTGCAAGGACATGGGCACAAGGCTTCCCCTGCAATTCTCACATGTTTCTTAGGCCAGCTCTGATTTTGAACATTCTGGAGTACCTCAGGGTCTCTTTCAACAGTATAAAAGTGCTGCTCTGTTCTTAATGCTGCTGTACAAATGGGAAAATAGTGTTACAGAGACTGGGAGGATGAACTCCATTACTAAAACAAGCTTTGGCCCAAGTCCAGAATGTTTTGTCCGGGGGCACAGATCACCAGGTGCACTGCCAGGAGTGGAAACCTGGAGTGTGGTTGCTCGATCTCACTTCACATTTGCTGTGCCCTGTGCCTCAGAGAGGTACGTGTGCTGAGGAAATAATTATCTCTTTCAATTCAAGCCCCTACATTTTTCTATTTGATCGTTTCTTTTCTAGCGAATGACTCAGCTGCTAAAGCATCTTGACTGCTGAATGAGTTTTTTGCTCACCAGCTAAGGTTAGGAAATTGCTGCTTTCCACCCACTTCTGAAATTAAAAGCAGGATTGCATTTACGTGGAGCAGCGAGGAACAAACCTGGCATCTCATCAAGACAGCTAAATTCTAGAGACAGGGCCAATGGCACCTGAGCAAACACTGTGGAAGACGTAAAGGAGATACGAGTTCAGAAACACTTCCAGTTCAATAATGTAAGCTGATATCCTATGCCTGTAGTACATTCTATAACGATGTTGTCAACTCTCCTAAGGAAAACTTGGCAGAAATGACACAGTGCTGTCTACAAAACGAACAGGGGGCATAAAAATTAACTCTGACATGCTGGAAGGTATTTCGAGTCATATGGTGGTCTCAGTTTGTGTTCCCTTACTGCAGTACAGCACAGTCAGTGGGATGCACTTACCTTCCATTGGAGTTCAACCTGGAAGTGTTCTTGGGAGCCTCAGTAACACTGAGCCCTTCACAGTCAGTATCACTGTATTTGCTTTGTGCACTTGGCAGCTTTGACTCAGTGGATAGTAGATATTCCTGTGCTAAATGTGTTTCCTTTTCACTAAGTGAAACATCTGGGGACATCCTGTCATGAAATGCACTTTGTGCATGTGACAAAACCAGTAAGGAAGCATTGTTTCACTACCTATTGGTCTTGCCAGTGTTCCCTTTAAGTTGCAGTTCAGGATGTCTTAGCACATGGGATTTTAGAGATGCTCAGGTGGCTGCCATTCCCAGAGGCATCCGTTCATTTTTATTGAGTCCATCTCCAGTCTGTGAAACTCATTCAATTCTTTCAGTATTCAGAGTACAAACATGGAAACAGCCCAGCTTTCGTGGAAACCCCAGGCTCCTCTGTGACTGAGGTTATTGAATCTATCTCCATCAGAGTGTGTTTTCAGGCTGATGTGTTTGCTTTTCAATGTGTCTTACTTCTCTTATTACCAACATAGTCCATATGGTTCTACTGCTTCCAGGAGCCACTCAGTCACAGTAATAATCAGCTAATCCAATACCACCACCTTCTGGCTTTGCACTAACTTCATTGCTGTTATGAATAAACTTCCATTATGCTTTCTTGCTGTAGGTGATGGTAAAGGCATCACATTTTGTAGGACTCCATTTTGTCAGCAAGTCGTGCTCCCTTTGGGACTCTAAATACCTTCTTTCTCTTTAGGAAATGGATTGTGTTTGAAGTGTCCTGCTGGGTATTTCTGTCCTGAGGGAGCAAGTCACCCAGCACCGTGCCAGCCAGGTACATACAATCCTCTCCAAGGACAGGATGAAGCCTCTGACTGCAGAGCCTGCCCAGCAGGAAGAGCTTGCACCCAGGCTGGATTAACTCAGCCTGATTCTGAGTGCTTACCAGGGTAAGCCTTGGTTGTTTTCTGTGCATTCCTATGTGTCTGTATGTGTAGTTTATCTCCATTGTGGTGTCATTGGTTCTTTGGGTTGTTTTGTTTTTTTTTTTGCATAGAGATTCCTCTGGAATGTTGAGTTTTTATTACAGTTTCTGGTAAATCCCTCTGACATGGGATGCGTTGGTAGAGGAATTTTCTGAAGTACAGCAGATGTGGCTGCCTTTTTTTCCAGCTGCACTGTTTATCACGTTATATTGGCTGGGCTCAGAGTTTGCCTCCCTCTTGCATTGAACCATTGGCCCTGACCAACCTGCTGTGTTATTTCAGGTACGTGTGCCCAGTAGGATCGTCCAGCCCACATCTTCCCAGCAATGCCTGTCCTCCAGGAACAGTTGGCAATGGCTTTGACCTCTTTGATAAGTCCCAGTGTGAGACGTGTCCTGCTGGGTATTTCTGTGTCAGAGGTACGTGGTTTTATGGCAAAATGAATGGTGTTCTTTGGTACCTTGTGCCATGCATCCCCCAGTAACTGAGAGATCACTGAGTTATCAGTGATGGAAATGGGGAATAAGGTGTCAGTTGTAGGGTTTGGCGTTACTGCAGAGATTGCTGTACCTTCTGAACAGATTGAGTTTAATTCTGGTCTGAGGTTTTCCTTTGGTGATAACTGTTGTTCATATTATTGATATTACTGCTTTCACTTTATGAAATGGAAGCAGCCGTTTTTTACAGTATCCAAATACTTTGCACGTTGATGGTCTCTTCAATTTAATGTCTGTCAGGTTTGGACACAGGCACCCTGCAGGGTTCTCAAGGCTGGAAATAATTGCTTTAGTAGCCAGTTCTGTGACAACTTCTTGTCAACAGAGGAAGTAATTATCTCATTTTGAATGGAGGAAAGGTGCAAAAGGAAAAGACTTGTTGCAGCATCTTCCAGAGCTGAAAACAGACCAAGGGAATTAGATTGTCTGAAGCCAGTATGCTGCATAGTAGACTACGTTTCATCTCTTTATGTTTACAGGAACAGGGGGAAGACAGAAGCCTCCTGCTCCATGTCCAGTTGGGCACTACTGTCCACCAGGCACAAAGCATGCAGTGCAGCACAAGTGTGCCCCTGGCACCTGGAGCAACAGGACAAGGCTGAAATCAGCAGAGGAATGCTTGCTGTGCCCTGCAGGCTGGTTTTGTGTAGGAGGATCTCATGTCCCTTCTGGCATGTGCAGCTCAGGGCACTACTGCCCTCAAGGTAGGCAGTTGTAGCCAGAAATGAAAGAAATGTCCATTATTTCTGTCCTTACAAATGCTGTGGACTCTGATAAAGGCAGCACGTGGCTTTATTAGTTTATTTGCATCAAAGCTTTAATAAGAATTAAGATGGTTGTTTGCTCTTTTTTTGGGGGAAGGTACGTGGAGAGGCACACAGCACCCCTGCCCTGCAGGAACTTATGGCACCAGGCTGGGAAGCAGCAGAGTGGAAGATTGTACTGCCTGCCCTGCCGGGGCGTTCTGCCCCAGTGGGACCTCCAAGCCAGTTCTTTGCCCAAAGTAAGTGCACTGCATGTGCTGACATAGCTGTGGGTGATCCATGTGAGTGTTTCAGCACACTTCTTATAAGTAGTATCATTCTGCACCAGAAATGTTTACAAACTCATTTCACCTTGCTTCTTGCTGGGCAGTCCAGGAAGGTTTTCTCTGAATCACACAGTTTCTTCCCTCCAGAAATGGTAAAAATCCTCCATGTGAGAGGCTAAAAATGCAAACCAGAAACACGTTGTCCTTTCGTTTGTCACTTTGCTACCATTGGTGACTCTTTCTACTGTTGTCTTTTCTCCTGTAGAGGAACTTACCGTGTGGAACATGGTGCAGGAGTGGCTGCAGACTGTGTCCCTTGCCCTGGAGGGTACTACTGCCCCAACCTTGGCACTGTTACACCTCAAACATGTGGTGCTGGCAACTTCTCAGTAAGCAGCAATAATTTTATCTTACCATCTGTCCAATGTAAAAAGTGGATAATTTTGGTAAAAAGGGGAGCTAAAGGATGTACCCCTCAAAGGAGGCATTGGAACAAGGCAGTCTTCTTGCATTAGGAGTCTGGGTATTTGAGGAGATTGCATACGGTGCTTTAAACAATGTTGTCCACCTGTGCTTGAGCCTTTAAGTAATGCAAGTGCTAGTCTAGGAAATGCACTGGGAATGTTCCTCTTGTTTCTGAATGATCAGGCTTGGCACTGCTCCAGACATGATGCTGGAAGTGCATCACATGCAATGTTCTTCTTGCAGTCACTCCCACTGCTGGAGCTTGCAGTAGCAGTCTATCCCCTTCATTCATCACTCACCTGCCAGTGTGCTGTTGGATAGATGCTTTGGATTTGGGTGATTTGTTTTAGTTTTCATTGTTGGTGTAAGCATTGCAGGAGAATGGCAGAGCAAACACCCATATTTAGTTCATGCTCTGAAGGAAGTATTGGATTGCAGTGCAGTTAAGCAGTCATTTGGCTGTAGAAGGTAAAACAGTGAGATGGAGCCCCAGAAGGGAATGGTGGATGGCACAACTGCTTCTCACAAAGTGGAGCTGAGACTTCATTTCTCTGTCCCTGGACTGTTATGAGTAATTTTAATGACAATTGTTAGCTTTCACTATTGAAGGGAATATGTCAGTTTCTGTCCATGCTATTTTTTTTTATCACAGCACAAATTTTGTGGTTACCACTAGAACCATTCATTAAGATTGGAAGATAAATGATGAATGGGGATTTGCTTACCTATGTCAAATGGACCTTGGTTATCTCTCATTTGCACTTTGCAGTTGAGTGTCAAGGGAACGTGTTTGTTTTTCTCTGTTACTGCTGGCAAAAGGTGTTGGACTGACTGTTTTGAGGCTCAGAGCCTTTCACATGGATAACCTGCAGGAAGGACAGGGCCTGCTTCATAGTGCCAAGCACTCTTGCCTGCAGGGTGAATAAATACACTGAATTACCTGCGGATTGTTGTTTATAGGTTAGATTAGATGGAGTTTTTAAAGGGACATCATTCCGTGTTGTAGGACCCAGGTTCTGCCTCCTGCTTGCCGTGCTCTGTTGGACATTACTGTGCTAGTGAGCACACCAGCCGGGAGATGATGCTGCTGGCCATGGTTTGCCCAGCTGGTCTCCGATGCCCAGAAGGACAGGCTGTTGCTCCAGAGGCCAATGCAAACTCCTGCCCAAGGGGCTTCTACTGTCCCCAGGGAGATACTGTGAGTGCATCTGTTTTAGCCTTTGGGCTGCTTTTCTGTGTACATTCCCACTAATTGGAAAGGAGTATTCTTGTAGCTTCATCTGTTGCACGTGGGCCTTATGGGATGTGGCAGTTCGTGTCAGACCTGTTTTTCTATTTTGTTCCAAGGGCTCAGATGCAAAGCCTTGCCCCAATGGGACCTATGGTAAACAGAAGGGACTCAGCAGTGCTGAGGAATGCTCACTGTGCCCTGCAGGGAAGTACTGCTACAGAGCTGGGGCTGAGCCTTCAGGAATTCCCCATCCTGTAAGCACAGCTTCTCCCAACTTTTTTTTCCAGAGGCTGCGGCTGTGAATGCAGCCTACTTAATGCATATTTTCTGTCTTTCCTTTACCTTTTGTCTGTCAGCACCTTCTATCTATCAGCTTTACTAATGAGATTATGAATTCCCTTTTTTCCCCTCTTTTTCTGCACCATTTTCTTGCAATAAGACTTTCAGGTTATTGAAATTGGTGATGAAGTTCGGATCTTTCTTTGCTGAACCTTAGCATATCTCACTTCCCTACCAGAGAAGAAGGACAAAGCCACACTCGCTGTCTTTTTTGCTTTCTAGACTGGAGATTGTCCACTTGGCTTCAACTGCCCTCCAGGAACTGGATTCCCTTTCTCCTTCCCCTGCACCCCTGGATTCTTCTGGGTTAATTCCAGTGCAGAGGATGAAGACAGGTGCAAACCGTGTCCAGCTGGGTACTATTGTGACTCTCCTGCCATGACAGAGCCCAAAGCTTGCCCAGTAGTGAGTTGTTTTTCAGTGGTTATCTAGTAGAAGAAGCTGTATGTGGGGGATCTGTTAAGTAGAAGATTCCTGAATGCTGTATTAAGCTGACTTTGTCTTGCAGGGCTTTTACTGTGGTGAAGGCAGCTCTAAACCTGAGCCCTGCCCAGAGGGAACTTACAGTAACAAAAAGGGACTGTCTGGACCATCAGAATGCAGCCCATGTGGCCGTGGTTTCTACTGTGCTGCTCCAGGGCAAACTGGGCCAAGTGGTCCCTGCAAGGCTGGGTTCTACTGCCAGGGCAGGGCCCTTACTGCAGTAAGTCAAGCTTTTCTCCTTACCTATTTCTGTTACGTTGTGGTGGGGTGTTTTTGACCCAGTGACTTCAAGAGCTGCAGTTTTGCACTGCGTTCATCCGAGTTTTTAGCAGGAGGGCCACGCTGCTGCCCTCCAAGGGAGCATAACCATTTTAGAGCTTTCCCCTCTAAACACTGCCATCACCTTAACTAAAAATGTGGCTAGGTTGAATATCCAGGTGAAAAGTTCAGTGGAGTGAATCACAGTGGGATTGCCAGTGTGAAGAAGGTCATCCTTATTTCTTCTTTCTGTGTGTTTACTACATTTCCCTTAAAGAAGCGTTATCTGTTCACTGTACAGCAGTGAAAGTCTCTGTTTTTTTCTCCTTGGTGTTGCTTTTAGCCCAAATCAGTATGATGCCTTCACTATTTTAACCCAGTTTTCTCCTTACTTACATGATGACTTTTTCAATTGCAGTTGCCTACAGATGGTGTGACAGGAGATGTGTGCCCTGCAGGGGCATACTGCCCACCTGGGTCCCCTTTACCCATCCCCTGTCCTCCAGGAACCTACAGCAATGTGAGTGGGCTGAGAAGCCTTGGTCAGTGCTTGGACTGCCCACCTGGGTGAGTGCACTGTTTGCTGATCATGGCTCAGTTCTGTCTCACTGCAAAAGAACTGTTTAAACCTTACATTTGTTGCCCAAGCAGCACAGCCTTACCTCCAGCCCTTTTGCAGTTCCTTCTGTTCCCAGCAAATGTGCTGCCAGCACTCTCCAGTGCTACATACCTGTATTAGATGGCTTACAATAAAGAACTTGAACTGAGTTGCCCCCCAGCATTTGCTGTTCACTAGCATCTATCAAAACTCATTATGTCTGTAGTGCTGGATGGCCTGACCTAGCAACTCTTGCTTAAACATTCTCATTAGTACTGTTTGGATAGTCCTTTTTGTATTACCAGATTAGATAACTCACCACTATATTACATTCCTCTTAATGATGCCAGGATTACACATCTGATTCTGGAAGAAGAGGTGTGGATTTAGCATTGGCTTTCACCTCTCCATGAAATGCATGCAGATTGTTAGTGATGAGCAGTCTGCCTTTCAGATGGCTTTATCTTCATGCTGCTGTGACAGAGCATGCAAGATCATCTGGGGCTGGGCAGCAAAAGAGCTGTAATTTTTGTGCTTTCCTGGGATGGAGTTATAGGTCTCCATGGGATGAAGTATGATGAGCTGAGAGAATCCACATTTTCCTGTCTTTTTTTCTTCTTTTTCACTCCTTCTTTTCCCTGGAGATGTAGGCAAGAAAAACGTAGCATGGGACAGCTCTGGAATTCATATTCTGCCTAAAAGCTGAAGGGAATGCCCTCAGAGTTCCTGCTTTTCTATTAACACCTGTATATTTCTAGTCCAGAGATGCAAAGACTTGAAGAAAACCAACATTTGGGTGTTTGTGTGATCTTTATTCAGATGACAACAAATATGCGTATGCAGCTTTGTGATTGTACAAGGGGAAATCCTTTCCAGGTTAAAGCTGCTGTACCTGGTCTCTAAAAAGGATGCGTGAGAAGTGATGTATATGCTCTGTAACTTCCTTTCAAGACCTGTAAGTGATCAGGAATGGGGTCTCTGAGATCCCAGGTAGACTGAGAGGGATTTTTTGCATGGGCACTGTACTAACTAGTGATAAACTGTTGCCACCCAAGATCTTTATTTTTCTCCCCACCACACAAAGCCTTTATTGTGATGGGACCAATACCCGAGCTCCCTCGGGACCATGTGAGCCTGGATACTACTGTACAGGAGGTGCCAAAAGTGCTCTTCAGCATGTGGTCATGGAAGGGCATTATTCCTCAGCAGGAGCTTTCAAGCCAGAGCCATGTCCTCTTGGCAGCTTCCAGCCTGTAAGTATTAAAGTACTGTGCACTCTAAGATGCTTGTGTGGTCTTCAGAGCATTGTACAAGGGTGTGAATAATCATTTGTGAAGTGTTCATAAGTAGATAGCTTAAAAAAAGAGGGACTTGGGTTTTCTGGTAAGCTGGGCAGTCATTCCCATCCTTGCTTCTGCCTTGCAGCAGCAGAACTGTGCAGAGCTAGAAAGATTGGGGGTGGAACACCAGATCCACCAGTTCAGCCTGGTTCCTTGAAGCTAATCAGGCTAAGTTCCTAAGTTTTGTGTAGTGCTAATTCAGCAGTGAGCTGAGGAAGCTTTACTCTAGCACAGGTGAATTGCCATGTGCATAGTTGTGCAGCCCTTTACTGCCATGTTAGAAATGGGCTGTGTCTACTGCTGCTTTACTGACACAGGGTGCTTTTCAGATGCCACAAATCTTTTGTTTTTTGGACTGCTGTTCTAATGATTCAGGTTGTTTATTTTGCAGCAGGGGGTGTCTGGGAGCTGGTAGAATGTGCGAAGCTGCTTCGTTCACATTGTGAGCAATATCACTGCTCACCCACAATGTTCTTTCTTACATCCCCTTTTTAGGAACGTGGTCAGTCTCATTGCAGGGGCTGTCCAGAGGGAGCATTCTGCAATGAGATAGGCCTGGCTGAAACCCAGCCTTGTCCAAAAGGGCATTTTTGCTTGTCTGGAAGTTCCTTGCCTCTTCCTTGTCCAGTGGTAAGAATCCAATATCACTGTGTTCTTTAAATAGTAGTTTTCAGAAGGTTTCCAGTGCTTTGGAGGAGGGTATTCATTAGTTCTCTGTTTCTGTGCAGGGAATGTATACAGATGTGCTTGGGGCAGGTTCATGTAAGCCCTGCCCAGCAGGCAGGTACTGCAGCATGGCAGGTCTGACTGAGCCAGAAGGACTTTGCCAGCCTGGATATTACTGCAGCCAAGGATCCAGCAGCTCCTCACCTGTGAGTAACTCAATACCTTGTGTTGCTGCAGAGCATTAGGCACTACAAAAGATTTCATGGGCTGCATCAATCTCATTTCCTTTGCTTCAGGTTGGCCTTTCGTTTGGAGATCTTTGTCAACCAGGGTATTACTGCCCTGCTGGCACTACACACCCAAAGGAGATGGCATGTCCTGCTGGCACCTGGAATGGCCAGAGAGGAGCCCAGGATGCCACTTGGTGTCTTCCTTGTGCCCCTGGGTTCTTCTGCAGTATGTCTGGTCAAGATGCTCCCGTAGGACTTTGTGCACAAGGTGAGACAAAACCAGAACTTTTTAGCTACTCAGAAATTCAGGGGGATTTTCTGCACCACAGAGAAGACTTGTATGCTTTCTTCAAGGCTACTACTGCACAGGAGGGGCAAAGACTGCAAAGCCAGAGGATGGTGTCACAGGAGATATCTGTCCTCGAGGACATTTCTGCCCTGCAGGTTCAGCAGCTCCTTCTCCCTGCCCCAGTGGTGAATACAGCAATGCAACAGGTCAGGAAGTGGATCATTGCAGTCTCAGTGTGGCTTGGGAAAGCTAGAAGCTAATCCTGTTTTTGTCTGCATCCAAGAATAGCAGTTGATACTGCTAACTGTTACAAGCAGTCAGTATTTTTCTTGGGGCAGAGGAAGGGATTCTTGGTTGGTTGTTTTTTTTTCCTTCCTTTTATTCCTCTGATGTCATGTGGAGAATGCAATTCACCCCCATAGCACGCAGGTCAAATGCAGTTGTAGCAGTGAGACTAAGTGAGCTATTAACCCAATTTCCTCACTGTTCTGCCTGCCACCTACTGGTGTGATGTGAGGTTACTGGGACTCAGGCTGGAGTGGATCTGAGAAACTTGCTGGATGGAAGTCACCAGTCATTCCCAGAGGGCTTGCATAATAACTGTTGCATCCACTGCTGCTTTAAGTGCACAGCTTGGTAGAAGAAAGTTGTCTGTGTGGCATCTTCTTCCAGTTCACGACTTATTTCCTCTGTAGGTCAAGACAAATGTTTTCCATGTCCTGCTGGGTTCCACTGTCCTAAAGGACTGCGACGCCGCTGCCCTCCTGGCTTCTATTGCCCTCAGAGAACAGGAATCAGTTTTTATCCTTGTCCCCCTGGGACTTTCAACCCCTCTTATGGACTCAGCCAGGCTGAGAGGTGCCAGAAGTGCCCTGCAGGTGAGGAGATGGCTGAGTACACTTGTTGTCTACATGGAGCAGCATCAGAGGCTGATCTCTGTGTATGTCTTCCCCTGATCCACTGAGATATTTTTCCACTTGGAAAGGCAAGCATAATAATTCCCAAAGTAGATTCCTTGTAGCTCTGGTATTGTCCCCCAGTAAGCCAAATTTGGTGGCTTTTTTTTATCCTTTGTAGGTAGGAGAATGGTTTGGTTTTACTCTTGGGGTTTCCCAGAGGAGTGTGATTTGAGCTGGAATGCTGATGTTGAGGGATCAGCTCCCTCCAAGCCTTCCTCTTTGTCTTCCAATCAGTATATGCAGCACACCAGCCCTCCTGTTTTGTACTGATCCTCCTTTTCCCTTTGTGGTCTTCCAGGAATGTTCTGTGGAGACTGGGGACTCTCCTCTCCAAGTGGACCCTGCTGGCCAGGGTTCTTCTGCACAGCAGGTATCAAATGCAATGCTCACAAGGGCCAAGGAGAAGTGAAAAAGTAGAAAGCTGTTGACTTCAGGAACAGTTTTAGATATTCTCTGTGCAATCTCTCCCTGGCTTTTCCTGCAGAGTGTGCCAGGATAGCCGCAAGGAATGTCAAATCAAAAACCTGCTTTCTGAGGCCAGTAGAAGGACTTGGGAAAAGAAGCAGTTATTCTCTTCCAGCTATAGGAATTATTCTTTAGGCGTGTGGGGCAAACTGGCCTACAGATAGCAGCCCATATCATTCAGGAAACCTTATGTCTATCTTCTTGATGTAGGAGCAAGTGTCCCAAACCCTGATGGAGCCACGAACACCAGCACTGGTGGCCCATGCCCACCTGGACACTTCTGCCCAGCTGGCACAAGTATCCCACAGCAGTGCCCTGTGGGCACTTACTCAGACAGGTGAGCTTCTGTATTTGCCTTTCCTTTTTGTTTTATCCTTCTGTCCCTATTGCTGACTATCTGGTGCCTGCCTTACTTGCCTACGGAGTCCTTTACCCCATTAAGGTACAACTCAGTAATGCTCATTAAACACATCCTTGTGCTGATTATGAGAGGCTCATGGTTGTTTTCACTTGGCCAAGGGTATAAGCATCGAGGGTCTTCCTGCTGAACTTGTACCCTTGCCAACAAAAAGCCTGCTTATGTCTCTCTACAGGCCATACATGTGGCAGGAATCCAGCTGCATGGCATGCCCATCTGGCCATTACTGCAGCTCTGCTGCCCTCACAGCACCCTCAGGGCACTGCTCAGCTGGGTTCTACTGCCTGGCTAGAGCTTCCTCTCCATCACCACCTGGTGAGTTGTACTGTGTGAACATCAGTGTCTTCACCTGCTTGTGTCCAATAATTAGCAACAAGACAGCTTTAAAAAAGCCTCCTTTTGCAACAGTACTCCTGCATCTGCTGCTTCTTAGTCATTTAGGCAAATGAATTAGTTTTGTTTTGGAGTGCATACACTCCAAGGATGAAAAAGTAGTCAGTCCACCAGTCTGTTACTGAATGAGACACTTCCATTGAACACTGGGAGAGTTCTGGCTACCAGCATACAATGCAAGTGGTCTGATTCCCACTTACCACTTTATTGTGCATAAGAAATAACAGTTTCTTAGAGAAGAGTTCCAGGTCCTTAATGGACAGCTAAATATTCTCCAGAATTCAGCTAAATGCTAGAAAGCTGATGTGCAAAAATACAGTTCACTGTGGCTTTTCCTTTGAAGCAAGGAGGAAAAGCACAAGGTGACACAGCACTGAATAACTCTAGAGCTGAGATACTGTAGTCTGTGTCGTGGCCCCTTTTGATCTGTCAGATCCCAAAAGACATAACTGAGGAGATCCTCATCAGTTAGCTTCATCTGTCGGCGTTGTCCCTTGCTCAGGGGTTCCCTTTTTTTGCTTTGTCTTGTACTCTTGTGTTCTAGGTGTGTGGGAGGCAGGAGGCCCCTGTCCTGTGAGCCATTTCTGCCCAGAAGGAGCCAGCTTTCCCTTAGCCTGCCTTGCAGGGACTTACAACAACCTCACCAGACAAGCTGCGTGCTTCCCTTGTGCTGCAGGGTACTACTGCCCAGAAAATACTACCAGCTACAGTGTGAATCCTTGCCCAGCTGGCTTTTACTGCCCTAAAGGTGAGATGGGCACAGGGGATGAGGTTGTCCATTGACCAGGCTGAAACATCTTCTTTTTAAAGGTAGGAAGTGGTCCCTGTAAAATAAAGCTTCAGGGGTCAATCTGGTTCTTCTGTGTAGAAGCACCCAAGCTCTTACACCGTAGGCAGGGCTGTCATTTAAGCCCCTCCTTGGTATATTAAGCAGTGCACAGAGGTTGTCACAGCTGCAAAGGCCAAGCTGTGCATTGTGAAAGTCAGCACTGAGATAAATTGGCAACAGTATGACATAGAATGTAAAATCCTTAGACACATGAGGTAATGCTGTGGGATTAATGGCCAAGATATTACAGTCTGTGAAAGATTCTCTCTTATTTCAAAGGAACCAGGTTTGCTACTGAGTTTCCCTGTCCCCGTGGCTACTTTAACCCTGATTCCATGACACAGAGCTTGGACAGCTGCTTGCCCTGCCCACCTGGGCACTACTGTGGGAAGGAGAACTTGACAGCTCCATCAGGCAAGTGTGATGCAGGTGAGTCTGGATCTGTTTGGCTGCTGTAGTGCACAGCACGTAGATGTCTTAGGATGCATCCATCAGCCTCTCCGTTTGCTTGATTCACTTGGCTGTAGGTGTGTAGCACCACTGAAGGCACCCTGGGAATCCACTTGGCTTTCAAATGGGCGCAGAATTCATGTAGGATGTATCTGGTAGCCATGAACAGTAATCTGTCTGCAATTCACAGCCTGTTCTGGCAGGAGAATTCAGCCCCCTGCCACATAGCAGTGGTACTGAACTCAAGGTTGTGAGACCATCTTGGCTGATATGGTGCCTCACAAAAGGATCACTATATGCACTTGTTTTCAGGTTGGTTTTGCATCTCTGCTGCTTGGACCTCACAGCCTTTTGATCTGGATAACTACACCAGTGCCAACTGCCTCTGCCCAGCTACTGCTACTGGAGGGAAGTGCATCGCTGGTTTCTACTGCCCTAGAGGAAGCCCAGAGCCTCTGCCCTGCCGTCCTGGTTTTTACTGCAATGCTTCAGGTTGGTGTCTGTTTTTGAAAAGGGAGCTGAAATGCAGACATATTTGTTACTTAGGAACTCAGTAGAAGACCTAAAGTTAAATCCTGATTGCAGGTGATAAACTCAACTTTGCCCAGAATTTTCTGTGTATCCTTAAGCTTCTGTGGCCACATTCCCCTCCTCAGAGGAACAGTGCAAATGCATCTTTATAGATTTGTAGATACAGGGCATCAAGGTCCTCTGTCAGATTCCTCTATATTCTCTGAATCTGCAGAGCCTGCAGATATTGGGATGCAGACTGCTGATTCATTTTCTTCTGTTTCTTTTCTGTCCTTTCAGTATTCTTTTGGTGTGTTAAATGTGATCTGTTTTTTATCCTGATACATTCATAGAGCTGCAGAGGTGTTTGCAAGATGTCTTCGGTGTCTCTCTGGACTGGCACAGAACAGGGCTCAGGTGTTAGCTTGTCATGTTCACCCTGAGGGAAGCTCCAAGTTGGTTTTTCTCCTGCTTTTCTTCCTTTGTTCTCATGCTTGGGTTGCCATTACCCTCTCTTTCTTCCAGGTCTGTCTGTGCCTAGTGGGGAATGTACTGCTGGGTTTTACTGTAAAGGTGGAGCAGTTCTCCCTAATCCAACAGATGATGTGACTGGGAATATCTGCCCTGCAGGGACTTACTGCAGTAAGTATCCAGCATCAGTCAGGGACAGCAATTCCTTGGCATTTAATATCTGGAATCCTGATGGGTGGTTCTGGGAGTGTGATAGCCAACTTGCTGGGCTCTGATCAGGGTGCTCTGAGTCCCAGATTCTTCTCCTGGTTGCTTACCCATACTCTGAAAGTAGGGACATATTTGTCTCATTGCTTGAAGCTGTCTGTCTTCAGGATGTGTTTAGCTTCACATCCATTACCAACTACAAAATAAAGTTAATATCTGTCCTCTTCCATGCAGTACTACTTGACTTCTGAGAGAAAATAAGATTCCACTGCTGCCCTTTCCATGCTGCACTGCACTCGTTCAGCCCCCAAATGCAACAATATTTATTCTTTCACTATTCATTTCTTTCTGCCTTGTTTCTCTTCTCACAGCTGCAGGGTCAGCAGAACCCAAGCTGTGCCCAGCTGGCACCTTCTCCAGCCTGCCAGGGAGGAGAACACTTTCTGAGTGCCAGCCTTGTCCCTCTGGCTTCTACTGTGAGGGTCCTGGTCTCAGTGCCCCTACTGGAGAGTGCTGGGAAGGTGAGGGAATTCACTGAGTGCTCTGCACCCTTTGTACAGGAGCTGCCTGCCTGTTTCTGGCTCTTGAGCTTTTTTATGGGTGAAAGTTTGGAACTCACTGCCTGGTTTTGTTCTCTTGACCAGAGAATAATTTGTGGCTCTGTGTGAAAAGACTGTTAGAGGTTCAGGCAACTCTGACATAAAAGCAGAAGCGGTGACTTCTCTGTATTTTGTCTGAACAACTGAAATGCCACCAAGGGAAAACTCTCACAGCCAGTGGGAAAGTAATCCTTGACAAGTTTCAGTAACTGGAAGGAAGCAGAGCTCAGTGCTGCATCCCTACGTGTTTCCCCACACCACCCATAGCTTTTATCCTGTGTATTGAAGATCACCAGATGTTAAATTTCCTTCTTATGAGCACCACAACTGGGAATGCTTTGATGTGGATTCATCCCAGCACAGGTGTAGTTCTGATCAATAGGAAGTTAAGGTCAGCAATAGATTTATTTTTCTATGGAGTGGCCAGTGAGGTGCTTGGTGACCTGGGAGAACCTGCTAGGAGCTTTCACTTCCAAAGAGCAGCAGCTCGTGCCTAGTACATCTCAGTGACTAATTTGTCTTTCCCCTCTGTCTTCTCTGCAGGCTATTACTGCGACAACCAGCAAAGGCCAGTTACTGATTTTACCCTTTACCCCTGCCCTGAAGGCTTTTACTGCCCCCCAGGGACAAAGAGGAGCACTCAGTACAGCTGTCCAGTGGGAACGTTTGGCCCAAGGCAAAAACTGAAAGCTGTCAAAGAATGTCAGAGCTGCCCACCAGGAAAATACTGTGAATTCTCTGGACTTGCTGCCCCCACAGGTACAGTGCTGTTCTGCATATGTTCACAACAACTGGAGTCCTGCTGACGTCTGTTGGCTGCTGCCAGAGATTGAAGTAAGGAAGTAAGGTTCTTTTCTCTGCTAAGATGATCTATTACTTGTTGAGAACATTCTGAAAAGAAAAAACATCTCTTTTTCTATGCAAGAATGGAGAGTTGGACTGCAGAGCTCAAAATGTGTGCTGAAGTACTTGCCCAAACACAGTGCTTGGTGTGAGCTCAGTGCTTCTGTTTAGGAGCTGTCAGTTTGTCATCTGTTCACAGTTCTGCACTCCATGCAGTTAGAAGCAGCTTCTCCCCTAATTGGCCATTTCATCGTTAATTTGTGGAGTATGCAGTGATGAAGCACCTTGTCATGGCCTGTATTCCAATCTGTATTCAGAAATTTATATTTATGCACCTATTGAGTGCTTTTTGTGTATTATTCTGTTTTTTAGGAGACTGTGCTGAGGGATTTTGGTGCAGAATTGGTGCCCGGGTAAGAAATCCTCAAGATGGAGAGTCAGGATTTCCTTGTCCTCCTGGTCATTACTGTCCAGAAGGTAATGTGCTTCACTGAAGCATAGCTTTTCATTTTCTACATAAAATATGAGGTGACATTTCCTCTCTCTGGTGTAACTTATTTTGCCAGGTGCACCACATCCTTTAAAGTGTCCTCCTGGCACCTGGTCTGGCAGTGAAGGCAGGAGGAGTTTGCAGGACTGCCAGCCTTGTCCTGGAGGGCACTATTGCAACAGCTCTGGACAGAGAGCCCCCACAGGACCCTGCAGCCCAGGGTAAGTAGAAGATTGAACACATTTGTGTAGTCTGGAAGGAGAGATGTTCTACAAAAGGTCTTCTTAACCCTCCTGAAACAATGAGATTGTGTTCCTGTATTTGCTGCTGCCAGGTATTACTGTGTCAGTAAGGCCCAGACCCCAGTGCCCACTGATGGACTCTCAGGAGCTCCGTGTCCCCTGGGTCATTTTTGCCCTCTTGGATCCAGGAGTCCAGAACCATGTCCTGCTGGCTCTTACATGCCACAGACCCATGGAGAAAAGTGCCATGCTTGCCCAGAGGGTGAATACTGTGTCCCTGGTGAGCAACCAGAGCCATGTCCCCAGGGTAAGTTAGGGTTTCCCTGTTGGGCTTGATTTTCTGTAGTTTTTTCAGAGATTGCCAATTCTGATCAATTCTTTTTTTTCCCAGGGCATTTCTGTCCCAAGGGCACAGCTCTTCCAAGGGCTTGTCCAGCAGGATCGTATAACCCCTCGCAAAGGCAAGCCAGCTGTCTTCCCTGTCCCCAAGGGTAAGAGTGAGAATGTGACATTAGTGTTGTATGTAGGAATAAAGAACTGTTGGAAGTAATGGTTTATCCAGTGTGAGACCAAGCAAAGTCCTAAATCCATGTATGACTGCTCTGGAAGGGAATTAGATGAGAGATCTGTTAAAAGCAAAGAAACCATTAACTTCTTTCATGTCTTGCAGTAAGAGATGGCAGCTGTTCCCTTGGCAACAGGCAGGCATAGTCCTGATGTAGGGAAAGAGAGTCTTGTGTATCAACCTGATGCTGAGACTGGCATGTCCTTAGGGGATTCATCTCCAATTACTAACTGGATTTGACCTTGATTAACTGTTACAAGCTGATGATTCACAGCCTGGATGTGTTATGACTCAAGTTAAGAAAATTATGTCTCTGTGGCTTTTGCAATTATGCCGTCAATTTGGTGTATGAGGAAACAAGTAAGAATGTGGTAATGTGCATGAGTTTTTTTTTGTGGTCAGTACAGCACAGTGCAGCAGCCACATTAGATTGGCTGTTACCACCATTAAGTCATTATTGGGGTATTTGTGGATAGAACATTGCTGGATTTCTTCCCCTCACTGTCCCTTTTCTTCTGTCTTTCAACCAGCTTCTTCTGTCTCAAAAATTCCTCTTCCTTTTTGGAGAATGAATGTTCAGCTGGCCACTACTGCCCTACCAGCACAGCTTCTGCCACTCAGTTTCCATGTCCCAAGGGCACTTACAACCCACAAAATGGGAGCAGCCTGGTCTCTCACTGTATCCCCTGTGAGCGAGGTAAATGGCAAATGGGAGTATCTCAGGATGGTGACTGGGCAGTCTGTGAAAATACATTTTGAATGTTCTTGAGGTTCAGCAGTAGCTTTTGCACGTTTCAGTAGATGAATAACAGGCTGCAGAATCTCATATGTCCAGAGCCCAGTATGTCATATGGAAGTGAAGACAGGCAGCTATTCAGTATTGTATTATTGTTGATCTAAGGGCTTCTAAAGCTGTATTCTGAACAAGACTTGTAAGCAGTAGGCAAGGCTCTTTGATTGGACTCGAGCACTTCAGAGAAAGTGTTACTTCTTGGCTCTGAAATGTACATTAAGAGATGTGATATGGAAAAATGTGGAAGATGATATTAGTCTGGAAGATTGTCATCTCCATGCTGTCACACATCTGTCATAGATACCTTATGGAGTGCTTCATAAACTTGAAAAATAAAGGCATCTTTATGAAAGAAACTTAGTAGGCAACGTTTCACATTGAGCACCGGTACTCAGATGAGAATCAGAAGCAGCATAGCTATAACATTGTGTCATGTTGAGAATTAGCTTAAATTAAAGATTATTTGAATTGATTATGCTGTCTCCAGATCTTGAGCCAGTATTTGTATGCAGCACTGCATTGTTCAAATGCAAACATGATGTTGGCATGAGGTTTGTGCCACCTTTAGGTTGGCAAGTTCAGCAAAGCCCCTCAGCTAGGCTGTCTTGTCAGGGGGGGAGAGAGAAGTTAGATTATTCTTCTAGTGTAGGTATCTGATGATGGTATGAATCACATCATGAGCCTAGATTAATGACTTAGAACAATAATTTAACTTATTAAGCCTGCTGTCACTAGGCATTGTGTGCTGGTTGTTTGCCCAAATCAAGGGAAATCTTTTTGCACTTCATTGCACGTATTTACATGTTTGCAGCCTGTCCTCTGATGTATCTTTACACTGTTTTCTCCCAGGACTAATGGCTCTGCATTGCTTTCTCAGGGCACTACTGTGCACTTGCAGGGCAGGCACGCGTTACAGGGCCCTGTCTGGCTGGGTTCTACTGCAGTGGAGGCTCTTCTAATCCAACACCCACAGATGGTCTTCTGGGGGACGTGTGCCCAAAGGGAACTTACTGCCCTATGGGCACTGCCTTTCCACAGCCGTGTCCTCCTGGTCATTATAGCAACTCAACTGGGAATACTGGGATTGAGGACTGCCTTCTGTGTGATGCAGGTACAGTACTGAGAGAAAGGACTAAAGAGATTCCAGCCAAACACCAGCACTTGTAGAGCTCCTTAGAAACATTGTGGTTCTGGAGCAGGTGATCATGCACATCTGTTTTCCTGGAGAGAGGTATGAAGTAAAGCATAGATGAAATCTGCCACTTAGCCCTATAAGAGCGTGCTAACAGTGAGGTGCTTATTTCTGTGCTATGATCTTCACTTTCCACCTTTCCTCTCAAAGTTTTCACGCTTTGAGATACTGCATAGTGCTGTTTGTTCAGACATGTAAGCTCTGTGCTGCAGCTGTTCCCAGTAAAAACATTTTCAGGAGAATAGATGTGGGTGATATCAAACATGATGGTTGAGTGATTTTTTATTTTCCCATTTATATTTTCCCATCTGTCTTGTTTGACCAATGTCCTTATGGTGCCATTGTGGTCCCTCCTTCAGGGTATTTCTGCAGTGGGACTGGACTTTTATCTCCAACTGGATTATGTGAAGGTGGATTCTACTGCAGTGGAGGAGCCATTTCTCCTAAACCTCCCAGGGTAAGTTGTTCTTGTGATGTAAATATGGCAAACGTGGTATCTGAACTGAACACCATTAGGTTACTGTATTTCTTTTGCCCCAGCTTAAACTCTAAGTTACTGGTTTATTGATAGTGAGAAGGGCTAGGAATGGCTAAATACACCTCACCAAAAACATCTCTATCTTTGCATGTTGGTGCTGCAAAGCAGAGCAGAATGCCGTATCACATAAAAATTACAGAGGTCATTAGTGCATGGGTTAGAATAGAATTGCATCTGCCAGCCCTCCTCCTAGGCAGAATACATAGAACTCTTGCAGATCATAATGAGACAGTGGGTTTATGCAGCAGCTCTCTGAGACCACAGGTGAGGAGGAAAAGGTGATGCCAGCTTCCACACAGTAGGACTTGTTACGTGCAGGGTTCTGATCTGTTAGCTTGGAAAAGGATGTGTGCAGCCTGCAAGATGACTAAGTGATGAATGCAGTCTTCCATGCTGTGTGTCTAGTGCTCATCATCATAAGAATCTGACCATCCTTCTTGTGAGGCTGCCCTCTGTTTGTGAACTGTGTAGAAAGACTTTTCTGAAACAGTGGTGTTGTTCTCTAAAGATAACAGTCAGTGGAGGACCGTGTCCACCTGGACACTACTGTGTAGCAGGGAGCAGCAGAGCCCAGCCTTGCCCTGCAGGGAGTTACAGCCCATCCTGGAGCACAGTGCAGTGTTTGGAGTGCCCAGAAGGTTTTTACTGTGAGGCTGCTTCTACAAACTACACGGATTGCCCTGCAGGTGGGTCTGATGGTACCTACTTACTTGTTCTGGAGTAATCTTACAAGGATTAGCAGATGCTCTTAAAGCTGTCTGAAGTGGATTCAACATTGGACTCTGTTGCATGAATCAGAACTCTCTTCTCCTGGACCTTGGTCAAAGCACTTAACCTCTTTGTGATTCATTTCCCCTGCCTGAGTAGACAGAGACTACAGAGACTTTTATAACGTACTTTGAGGTCTTATTAAAAAAACGGTTGCTGTTAAAAGTATTCCTAATCCTCAGCTATGATCAACTTCATTTTAATGCTGCTGATGTGACAAAGATGTCAACCAGTGGTGACAGATTGCAAGATGGGCCCACTGTCGTAGCTTGGCTCCAATCTTCCTCAGAAACAGATGAAGAGAATTCTGTGTGCACAGGTTGGGAGGTTCTTCTCAGGCTCTTACCTGCATGCACTGACCTTTTTGAAACCTGCCTCTTCTCTCCTAGGTCACTACTGCCCCAGGAATACCAAATTTGCCACTCAGTATCCTTGTCCTCCTGGAACGTACAGTGATGCTTTAAATATCTGGGATGCTTCCAAGTGCCAGCTGTGTCCTCCTGGAAGGGTCTGTTCCAAGCCAGGCCTAGCAAGACCAGATGGACTGTGCATGCCTGGATGGTTTTGTCCACCTGGATCCATGTCAAGCAAGCCAATGTTTCCTGGAAATCACTCAGGTATAATGAAGTGTACAAATGATTATTATTGTAGCAGTGGTGGTGTGGAGTCACCTAGAGGACTCAGATGGCTTGCTTTCCCATGCTGCTTTCTTTAATTGAGTGCTCCAGTTCTGTTCTTAGCTCTTTAGGTAAGATAGACCCCTTGCAATTTTTCTGCTTCAGCTCAGCCTCTGTTCTTTCCATCAGTGGACATGGCAGCTCCAGCTTCTGGATCTTTTGGGCAGTGCCAAGCAGGAACCTTTTGTCCTGTCGGTTCATTTCTTCCTATTCCGTGCACTCCAGGTAGGAAAAGCATCTTTCTCCCTGCACAAATTGCTTTATTTTGTAGTACTGTCTTCAGTTCTGCCATGATCACTAGGCAATCCCAGTCTTGTGCTGTTTGTATTTGCATTCTCATGTCTCTCACATGGAGGTCTTTGCTTCTGTCCCCTGCATCAGGTATGTACTGTGCAACTGCTGAGCTATCAGCTCCATCAGGTCCCTGTGAGGCTGGCTTCTACTGCACAGGGGGCTCCGTGCTGCCAAACCCCACGGATGGAGCAGTGGGGAACATTTGTCCTCAGGGCCACTTCTGTCCTGCAGGGAGTTCTTCTCCATCTCCTTGTCCCCGAGGTAGGTTTGACAGCAGCTGCTGCATGCCATCATTTCTCTTAGCAGTGCCAAGTGAGCTGCTGAGCTCATCCGAGTCTGTGCCATTGTTTTGCAGCCCCTTGTTATTTTGCACTGAAGCGTGCCTTTATGCTCCCCAAGGGGCAGCTGCTGTCAGCATGAAATCTTAGCTGCTAATCTGCTGCTGTTGTATTAGAAGCATCAGTCCTAAATTCAGACAGTAATTGCACAGCTGCCTCTGGAGCCTCAGTCTGTGGTATAGATGCTGCTGTGCAGCTGTCGGGGGGATGCTCTTTGCTGAGCATTCCTGAAAGAAAGGTCACACAGCAGTGGTGAGCTGTGCACATGTAAGAGTCTCTGCTGCCCTCTCTGCAGTCAGAGCCGTCCTTTAACATCGCCATTAATGATTCTACCAATTAAGCTGAATGAGAAAGGCTTTTAGATGATCGTTTCTTTCCTGGATAAAATCTACAGATATGTTGAGCAAGTGATTGTACTGCTCAGTCTAGACCAGGAAGAAATAGGAATTCACCTCAGCCAGCATTCATAAGCAGCCTCCCACAGACCTCCCTCACAGGAGTACTGCCATCCACTAACCAGTGCACCAGTTACTCTGCAAAGACTTTGTATTTCTCTCCATATCCACTTCCAACAGTGTTGAGGGTGATGGGAGCATGTGCTTTCAATGTCTTTCAGGCTCCTTTCTGGCTCATCGTGGTGGCCAGTCAGCACAGGACTGCCAGGCCTGCTTCCCAGGGTGGTTCTGTTCTGAGTGTGGTCAGAGCTCCCCAGAAGGTCCGTGTGAGGAAGGGTGGTTCTGCCCCGAGGGCTCTGTGTCTGGGCAGCATTCAGGTAGGAAATCTTGGAGGTCCTTCTTTATCTACAGGAGCTGCAATAGGAAGATGGACTTAAAATCTGCGCCCCATAGGGCTGGAAGTTACTTCTATAAATTTCTGGCTATTCAGATTTCTAGAAAATGTTTTCCAAAAATTCCATCTAGTAATGCAGTTGAAGTAGTGGGTAACTATAAGAGGAAGATGGACCTTGTTTACTTGTTACAAAAAACAAGCTGAATAAATACCTCAAGAGGTGTTTATTCCTTGTTGTGTTTTCAGCTTTGCTAGAAAGAGCTGGTAAGTGAGAACATGATGTGAGGATGTCTGTTCTCCATTAGGTAAGGGTGATATGAGGATACATGCTAACTCAAACCCTGCTGTTTCAGGAGCATTCAGACAGCTCTGTGAAAAGCAACAGTGAGGTTGCAACCAATTGAGCTTTCTAAAAGCTTTGGGGGGCAACAAGTCTGCAGAGCTGTTTGGTTAAAAGCCTGCTTTGGTGATATGTGATGGTGGTGTTCAGAGTGCACTGCTTCCACTGCTCAGATCTGCATTTAGCAAAGCTTTTAACACAGGGCAAGCAGTTGATCTTTGTAAGTCTTTTTTTCCATGCCCTTTTCAGTGGTGCCCAGCAAGGCAACAGGCACAGCTCCCTTCCAACCCTTACAATTCTGTGCATAAAACACTGGCAGTTCCACCTGCATGCATGCAAAGTCTTTATCTTAAATCTTCCAGTTCTAGGTTTGTGGTGATGGTTCTTCCGATGACACTGGTTGTGAGCAGAGCAATTATATAAGTATTCCTTCCTTATTTTCCTCTAGATTATTTATGTCCTGTGGGTCACTATTGCCCCACTGGCAGCCCTGAGCCCATACCCTGCCCCTCTGGAAAATACCAGGACCAGGCTGGTAAAAGCCAGTGTGAAATGTGCCCAGCAGGAATGTAAGTGAAATCTGCTGCTTCATTTTGATGCTTTCCTTGTGAATTCGTGTGTGTATTTCCATCTGCCTTAGGCAGCTGCACTGTGTCATTTCTTTTGATACACATGGCTGGGTTTTTTCTTCCTGTTTTTGTATTACCTTTCCCTTTATTATGGCGTTTTCTGTACTGCAACCTGTGTTACAGAAGATCCATCCTACTAGGTGAATCTGCTGGGAAAGACAGAACGTTCCTGGCAGGTTCATCTCAGCTCTGTGTACCATTTCAAGTAATTTGCTTTCCTTTTCTTGTCATCTCAAACTATCACTATTGCATAGAAAGTGTTTCTTAGTCCCTTAGAACAAAGGGAGAGCGTGGACTGAGGCAGTACTTGGATTTCTTTTTTAGGTTCTGTGCCCTTGAAGGCCATCCATCCAGTCTCCATAACAGCTCAAGTGGAGTGATCAAACCAATGGTCTGTTTAGCAGGACATTACTGCCTCCTGGGCACAAAAGCTGGCAATCAGTACCCATGCCCAGCAGGGACTTACAGTAACAAAACTGGACTGAGAAACCCTAGGGAATGCTTGCCTTGTCCTGGAGGCATGTTTTGTGCCAGTGCAGGTAAGGACCAGATGTGGGTTAAATACATTTCCTTGGCTGTGTTAGATCTAAATTTAAGTTCCACTAATAGATGAAGTTTTCATCTGTATGCGGTCCGTATGACTTCTAAGGAGTGTTTGCAATCATCTCTGGGACCTGTTGAGTAGTCATTGTTTATGGTCATTGCAAAGATGTCTGCAAATCTTTCTTTTGCAAGTTTAAAGAGGTGGATTAAGGTGGATTTTTTGGAAAAGATTATTGAAACAAAAGCCAAGCTGCTTAGGCTCTAGGATTCATTTGGTTTTCTCTTGGTGGAGAAATGGGTGCACGGTCTTGGTCAGCATCTTCTGTAAGGTGATCTAGACTGTTTAGGCCCTTAGCTATCTGGTAGTGTGAGAAAACGTGGAGGCTGTAGATGCAGCTTTTAGATAACAAATGTAACCGCAAGCCAGTAGGCTCTGAATTCATTGTGCTGACAAGGCTTGTCTGCTTTGTTTAGTCCAGAAGCTGTGAATTATGTAACACAGTAGCTTATTTGACTTCATATTCCTTCTCTTTAGGACTTGTTTCCCCGAGTGGTTCTTGTTTGCCTGGATATTACTGCACTTTAAAGGCACAGGTACCCAATCCTGCCAATGATGCCACTGGTGGCCTTTGCCCAGCAGGCCATTACTGCCCAGCAGGCAGCAGCGAGCCAAAGCCCTGTCCCTCTGGCATGTTTTTGCCTCAGTCTGGGATGGCTTACCATAATGCCTGTCTGCCCTGCCCAGGAGGGAAGTTCTGCCAAGGGGACGGCTTGATGAGCATTTCTGGTGTGTATTGACTGGATTGAACATCTTTAATGTGGGTATTTTAATGCTTTCTGGGTGCTCATCCCTAACACAGCGGCTTTTCTTTCTTGCAGGATCGTGTTCTGCTGGCTATTTTTGTGATGGTGAATCCACACGGCCAGACCATAAGCAGTGTCCCCCGGGCTTTTACTGTCCTGAAGGCTCTGAATCCCCAGTTCCTTGCAGCCCTGGTCACTTCAACTCTGAGAGAGGAAAGTGGCAGCCAGCAGACTGTCAGCTCTGCCCAGCTGGGTATTTCTGCAGTGGTGAGTGCTGATGTGTTTGAGAGCTGGGATTTGCACAGTGTAAAGTGGGGCAAAGTAGGTACATCTACAGCTTTATTCTGTACAGCTCATATAACATTCACCAAGTATAAACACCCTGTATTATTTCACTTCCAGTATTTCTGTGGGGTTTTTCATAGCACCCAGAACACCACTTGCTATTCTATGTCGTCTTTGTTCCTTGGCTCTGACATTTTTTGTTGATGCATCTTAAAGGAGTTCAGCCTCTCTGGAAAACAGAACAGCCTGGCAGACAGGTATTTGGTGCAGCTCTCAGCCAGGGTCTCTGCTCTGAGGCAGCTGCTCAGAAGTTCTCACAGTCTGTTTGCACAATATGTGTATTTACTCCCCCCCACGACACTGAAGTATTTGAGGTCACACTGGTGGTAACAGATTCATCTGCCCCTTCCATAAGACAAAGAAGCTTTTCCCCTTTCTCAGGTGGGAAACTGGAATAGGAGAGAAGGGAAAGCTTAACTCGCATGGGTTTGTAGCAGAGCTGGAACCACAGGCGAGCTTTCCAGAAGTACAATTGCACGTGGAAGCCCACGTTTCCTACATGCATATAATTCAAAAATTGCCTTTCCTTTGTACTAAGATGTTCTTTGTCTGAGGCTGAAATTTGGGGAACACATTCTTTCTGATATTGGTGACAGGTGAATGATGAAGGGGGTTGTGCTTTCAGGAGATAAGGGTTTTCTTTTGTCTTTGATCTGAGAAAGGAAAGGAAAAGGCTGTGCTTTCAAAGTTGCAGGACTGGGCAAAATCACTTCCAAGGGAGCATGTTCTGCAGGTACTGCTGCCTGCCTGGCCAGGCTTCAGCTACTCCCACTCCCTATTGCTGCCCATGAGGCTGCTACTGTCCCAAGGGATCTGCCTTTCCTGTGCCCTGTGAGAATGGGACCTATCAGTCATGGGAGGAGAGGGATTTAGGGAGTCTAGCAAAGTAGGGCTGTGTATTGTGATAAAAATTGATTTTGTGTCACTGAGAGCTGAGTCTCACTGAGACTTAGCAGGACAAAAAGGATTTTGAATTGCTTCCTTCTTTCTGTTAAGGTTCTACTGAGTCAGTGTTGGATGGGACTAGACAAACAGAAGCATCGGTATTTGCCAAGAGTGGAAGCCAAAACAGTCTTCTAAGAGTAAGAAGTTGTTGAAAGAGTAAGGAGAAGCCAAATCTTTCTCCTCTTCAGGGCAAAGAAACTTAATGCCCAGGAAAATACAAAGGAGCTTTTCCTGTCTAGCAGCTCATGCATGCTACAAAAAAAAAACAAACCCACAAGAAATACAGCTGCACAGACGTGATTCTGTTCCCTAGGTGGGATCACTCGAATAAAACTTCAGACAGCTCCTTTGTAGACATCTGTACCTGAGCTGGTTTTTTGTACTCCTGTAGTTGTGGCAAGAGGCACTTCAGGGCTGCAATTTGTCTCTCTTATTTTACTTGTCTGCCTTAGGATGAGATGAATTGCACTTGAAGTGCGGTTCCTCTAGAAGTGCTGTTTCTCTCCAGTTACTGCAACACGATTCTGAACAACTGCATCAGAAGTACACACAATGGAGCCCACGTCCTGGGTTTAGCTTGAATACGTTGATGGAGAATGACATTGCTTGTCGTGTCTTATAATGTTTCCTGAGCAAGATGCTGCTTTTTGTATCCTAGGTTCTGGAGCCCACACTCCTGAGCTGTGCCCTGCTGGGTACTTCTGTCTGCCAGGTACCAACTTCAGTACAGAGCATCCATGTCCAAAAGGTACCTTTGGCCCCAGGACTGGTGCCACCAGCAGCTCTGACTGTGAGCCCTGCCCAGCAGGTAAGCAGGGACTCGGCACAAAACATGGAGGGCATAAATGGAAAGGTTGAATAAAAATATGGCTTCCTTCAGGTTATTGACTCCTTCACTTATCTTCTGTGCTGGCCATTTCAGTGAGATCACTTTCCTGTTTATTTTAGGCATGTATTGCTCAGCACCAGGTCTTTCACAGCCCTCTGGATTTTGCTACTCAGGTTACCATTGTGCCAAGGGAGCCATCAGCCCAACCCCTTTCAAAAACAGGGTGAGTGAGCACTGGCAAACAGCACAGTTAACCTTGCGTCGTGAGGACAAGGACTGGGACCCTCACAATGTCGTGGCTTCTGGTGTTACATTTTCCAAGTCTTACTGCTTTGCACAGGGTTGCTCTTTCCCACTGCTGCTGCCCTTGGTAGCTGCTCAGATGGACTGACATGCTGCTCTTAATGTCTGCTGGAATATCTTGCAGCCTGTTAACAAGTAATGGCCAGACATCAGCCTACTAACAAGTAATGGCCAGACATCCATTTCTGTAGGTATCACTGTAGTGTGCCTGTCTCAGGTCTCTTCCACACAATGAGAGCAGTGACTGGGTAGCTGTGGCTCAGCAGCCAGCACTTCCAGTGCCCTTTTTGTGCCAGCTGTGGTCTGCATTTAGTTTCAGTGGCAGAAAACTTGAAGAATTCAGCCCATATGTACCCTTTCCAGAACCTGTCTTTGTAGTACTTTGGGCAAATCTTGTTTCGATAACATTTTTTTTTTTCCCTCTGTTTCTGTTTGTTTGTTTCTCTTTCCTCACGCAGGTGGAATTTGCTGGCTCTGTGTTGCCTGGTAATGATATCTGTCCTGCAGGGCATTTCTGCCCCAATGGAACTGAGAATCCCATGCCTTGCCCTCCTGGGTCCTTCTCTGCTGTCAGGGGCCTGCAGGCAGAAGAGCAGTGCCAGCCCTGCCCTGCTGGCCGATATTGCAGCAGGGCAGGATTGTTTGATCTGGCTCAGACGTCGCTGTGTAACGCGGGGTGCGGTGAGACTGTTACTTGCTAGTGGGAAAATACAGCTGGCAGGATTGCTGTGTAGGCTGGAGCAGAGGGGCATCCAAACTAAACACTGGGCCTGAATATATCTTGCCCAGTCCCTTGTGTGCAAATATTTACAGTGAAAAATAACTAACCTGCAAAGCGTTTGCTCTGAGCTCTCTAGGTTACATGCTGCTGTACAGCATCTGCTTGGTGGCCCTGGCATGTGCTTCAGAGCCAGTTCTCCCTATTTGTGTGCCTCACGTTCTGCCCCAGCCTTCTACACAGCCTTTTACTGTTTTTACTGTAGGCTTAATTAATGACAAGCCCTTTATTTACCTTAAAACATGCTTGCTGTGAATTTGCATCCTTTTTCCCCTCTGTTTTCTCTCTGCTCCCACCAGGTGGTGCAATAAGCAGCAACAAGGAAGCAGTGCTGGCATCAGCCAAACAGCAAAGTGCTATCAGCAGTATTTGCCCATCTCATGAGTGTGCGTTGTAGCAAAAGGCCACGGAAGCTCAGTTCCTTTAATCTGTGAAAGAAAATCTCAGAGGTGACCTCAATACAGTGCATGTAACAGGATTTGATTTGATGTAACAGGAAAAGATTTCTGATAACTAACAGCTCTTGAATCTGTTCTCTTTTCTGGAGAAAATCACAACTGCTGCTCAGTATAGCAGGCCTTGATTCTGAGTGAACAACTGCTGACAGGCAGCTTTGCTGTCCTTTTGCTTGATGCTGCTCCTTTTAGCAGTCATTGCCTCAAGGACTATGAATTGCTTCTTCTCTAGAAGCTGCATCCACGGGATGCAGTGAGATCATGGCTTTCAGTTCCTTCCTGCTCAGTTTTCAGAAATGATGATTTTTTTGTATTTCCTCATCCTTCTTGAGGGGAGTGGTAAAGGGAGACGTAGCATAGAAGTAGGTGACATTAATGCAGAGGCCAATGAGAATATTGAAGGGAAACTAAGCAGAAACAGCAGGCGCTGAACACTTGGGCTTTGTGCTTTGAAATAGTCTAAAAACTTAATTTTTCAAAGACTTTTACCAGAATGATGGGAATACCTTCCAGACAGCTTAGTGAGGGGTGGGGAAGAAGAAAAAAAAAGAGGATTCTACAAGGATTTACACATGGATATTAAATTGGTAGGTTAGGGCACGGGAGGAGCCCAACTGAAATAAAACACATCTTTAAGGAGTGTTTCTTAACTTGGTGACCTTTGGTTAGTATTCCCCACATCTGTCTTTTTCTGAACAGGGTTGGGGGCCCTTGGTTCCAGCACAGAATTTTCTTCTTATAGGTATGTTTGTCTGGAAGGAAGCTTTGCTCCCTGCCCTACTGATGGGGTTTATGGATACAGATGTCCTAGTGGCTTCTACTGTCCTGCTGGCACTGGACTAGAACTGCCCTGTGAGCCTGGCACCTTCAGCCCTATGCCTGGGGCAAGTACTTGCCTCCCTTGCCCAGCTGGTATGGCCTGCAGCCATGCAGCCACTGCAGAGCCACTCAGCTGCCCCAGAGGTAAGCAATATTATGTGCCACAAAACCACTGGCATGCAATCAGAAGTGTGATGGGTGCCTGCACACCTCTTTCTGTCTGACCATAGCAGTATGGGAATGGGAGATTTGCAGTTGGGAGAAGCAAGACCAGCATTCCTGCTTATTCTTTCTTTATTTTCTGGGCAGTGCCTCATTCACCTCTCACTGTACAGGTCATTATTGTCCAGCTAGGACTGCTGCTCCCCTGCCGTGCCCTGAAGGGACACTAAATACCATGGAGGGGGCATTGGCCCCCACTGCTTGCAAGCTGTGTCCAGTGGGGAGGTACTGCAGAGGAGATGCTAACTGGGAACCTGATGGTGAGTTTGATTCAGAGCTCTTCTTTCTGTCCATTTAAATACCTCCCTGGCCCTATTTCTTATGTTTGTGGCTGTTGCTCAACTAAAATGCAAAGGTTAGGTTATATGAGCAGAGGAAAAGCGGAACTGTTTCCATGGAAAGAAGTTTATCCACAGAATCTATGAACAAGTTTGAGTCGTAGGAATAGTTTAAGAAAAATAAATAAAAATACCAGATGAGGTCAGTGCGTGTAAAGAAGGGAGGTGATGAAGGCCTCAGATGACAGAGGAGGAGGAGAAGCAGACCGAAGTTGAACAGTGCAGGATATCAGTAGAGCTGTAAAATGAGCCCAGGATGGGATTCAGCTTCTCTCCTATTTCTGAGGTTTTAAGGAGATGCTTCCGTCCTTTCCAGTGACCATTTCATTACCCTCTCTGCTCTCCCGTGGCAGGTCTGTGTTCAGCTGGGTACTATTGTGAAGGAGGAGCCACTGATGCAGTTCCACGTGGGACGCCAGAATTCCCTCTCAGTGGGCCCTGTCCACTTGGACACTATTGTCCTGAAGGCACTCCTTTCCCAGTTGCCTGCCCAGTTGGGACCCTGAACAACAGCACAGGTGTGACTTCACTAACAGGTTTCTCTTCTAGTCCACAGCAGTGGGGGGCTTTGTTGCTGGTGGCCAAGATTTTCCCTTGGTCCCTGAAAGATAATTATACACTCAGTGAAGGCTGAGCCATGTCTATATGTTATCAGTGCAAATAGATGCTTACACCGCTGTGACTGATCTAAGGATGCTGTAGGGATGCTTCCATGTTTTCTGTCACTGAGCTGCAGTTCTGTTTTTGTTTTTAGGTGGTACCTCTCCAGAGAGCTGTGTGCCGTGCTATCCTGGGTCTTTCTGCGCTAGCATTGGTTTGAGTTCTCCAACAGGACCTTGTACTGAGGGATTTTACTGCCCAGCAAACTTCAGCTCCTTCAGCCCCACAGCATTTCTCTGCCCAAAGGTACTGCTCAGTGACATCAGGGCAGTGGAAGAGGTGGGTCAGCTCTGGGCAGGTGTTTTCCTCTGTGGTAAAGCCTCCTACAGGCCTAATTGAAATGGTGATTATATCCACAGGGAATATTGCTTTGGTAATGCTGGGGTTCACCCTTTACACAGAACCTAAGTTTATTGCAGTATCCGTGGAATCCTTTATCATTGCCAGGGTCACTTCTGCCAGTTAGGAGCAGCTCACCCAACACCATGCCCTGCTGGGGAGTACCAGCCAGCCAGGGGCTCTGCGTCCTGCATTCCATGCCAGAGAGGATTCTACTGCCAGGAACTGGTGGCTGGAGACCCCAAGAGCTGCCCACCACATACTTACTGTCCTACAGGTATGCTGAAACTGGCACACCAGCTATGCCAAGGACTCAAACCTCGTGTGCCTCATTGTTGTGCCAGAGTTGTACAGACCCAGTGTCATCTTTATAGGCCAGGGAATGAGGAACTGGCATAACTGGCAGCAAACATTGTGTTGTGCTGCCTTGCTTCCTGGGAGGCATTTATTACTCTGATATGGTTGTAGGGTCATATCAGATCATAAGGTCTTCCTAGGATGTTTTATTTTCTGTGTCAGGCACACAGTTCCCTCAGACGTGTCCTGAAGGCACCTTTACTCCTCCAAATACGACTGGCCTCTGGAATGAGAAGCAATGCCTGCCTTGCTTACCTGGTCACTACTGCAGGTAATGACCATTCATTTCTATCTGGCACTTTTTCTACTACCTCCTAAGCCGCTCAGCATCCTTGCTGATCAGTCAACACTAAATTCTTCCCAGCTTATCTACCATCTGTGTCTCAGAGAACATAAGCATAACTCAGACACAGCTTTTGCATACAGAGCTGTGAACTTAGAGAGCTATTGCAAAGCAGTCTGACGCTGTCATAGCATTATAAAGGAGCACCTAAAGGAGATAGGTAGGCAATGGTTGTGAAAACATGGACGTAAGCCAGAAGGTTCAGCCCAGTGGAAAGTTGTTTGCAACTTTATGTAAAGCAATTTGCCCTCACGTTCATGGAATTTGAACTTAAAATTGTTTGGTTTGCTTCAGTCATCTGTGGTTTTCTAAGTGGAAAAAATGGGTCTATTTTTATCTCTCTTATCAGTGTAACCACTGCTCTGCTTCTGCACCAAATTTTTATCAGCAGGTCTTATGTAAATTCTTCTGGTTCTCTCTGCTCCAGGCGTGGACAGCTAGTGGGGAAATGTGCTGCTGGATACTTCTGCCTTGCTGGGAGCTCTCAGCCCACTCCACAGGGCCCTGGCTTTTCCTGGCGCTTTCTGTCTGGATGCCAATGGGGTCAGGCATGTGCTGGGCTGTGTCCTGCAGGTGAGAATCTTTGGAAGTGTCATAAGTGTATGTAGAGAGTTGCTTCTAACTAAGTAGAAAACATCTGTGGTCTTGCATAATATATGGTGATACCCACTTTGAGGTTGTCATGCTCATGTAAAAGCTCGTCTGCTTTTACATCTTTCAACCAAAGAAGTTTGCTCAATGAAAGATGCCACCTTAAATCTGTGGTGCCAGATTGCTGGTCCAGAGATTTCTGAAGGCTGTTGATTTGGCTGTCAGTAGGCACAGAATCCCAATAGCTGCATAGATGTTAATCCTATGACAGGAGATGCTTGCTGAATCATTTTTTTTCCCAGTAGAAGGCTTTTCTATTTTACTTTCATCCCTTCCCCGTCTATTTCTGCAGGTTTCTACTGCCTGGAGGGCTCTGAGTTACCTATACCATGTCCTGCCAATACTATTAGGGATGTTCCAGGGGCTGGGCAGAAGGAAGACTGCCTGCCCTGTCCACCAGGCCACTGGTGCAAAGCAGGTTGGAGTCTGGGATAATAGTGAGGGGAGGGAATGAGATTTTCTTTGTGTGTATCCCTGACTGTTCAGACTAACTTTGGTATCAGACACTGCGCTTTGGATCAGTACTTGCCATGGGACGTGGTGTCTGTGATTCTGGAGTCAAAGCTAGTCTTCAAATAGCTCTGTGTTCCACCTGCCAGAAGAGGGATTTGAACTGTCTTTTGTTTCTTGAATTGTGACTGTAGATCATACTGTTACATACAGTGATTTAGGAAGGACCCTGGTAGGATTCAGAAGAAAAATAGGTGTTGCAACCACAGTGAAGAGGTGGCTCCTTAAAGCTGAATTTTCTGTTTGTTAGGAGACTCAGAGGCTTCTCCATGTCCTTCAGGACACTATTGCTTTGGAAGTAATGGCAGTGACCAAGACAGTCTGTTGGCACCTCAGAAATGCCCTCCACATACTTACCGCAAGCTACCAGGAGCTCAGAGCCTGACAGATTGCCAACCATGTCCTCCAGGCTATCACTGCCCTCTGTCAGGTAAGCAGCAGGTGAAATCAAATGCTTTCCCACCACTGGAGTTGATTACAAAACTCCCTGAGATGATATAGAAAGGGAGGGGTAACACTCATAGTGTGCTTACAGCTCTTCTCTAAACCCCCTCCTGGCCTTTCAGCCTCCCTTCATTTCTTCTCTTCCTAACAGGTCTAACCAGTTTTGAGGATTATCCATGCCCTCTGGGATACTGGTGTCCTGGTAAAGGGGATGCTTTCTTTTGTCCACCTGGCACTTCCAGGGTACACCCTGGTGCAAAATCACTGGAAGAATGTGATCCCTGCTCAGCTGGCTACTACTGTCCAGACCCAGCACAGACAGGGCTGCCTAACACCCAAGGAGTACCTTGTGAACCTGGCTATGAATGCCCAGCAGGTGACATAATATGTTGTTCTGTTTTATTTCTAGCTGTTTAAGCCCAAACGAGTGAAGAGTGCACAGCAGGCAGAGCCATGGCATATAGATGGCATAATGATCAGAGCCTCATCCTTGCAGCAGCCCTTGGTGGAAATGGCTCCTGATGGAGTGGCTTTAGAAGTGGATTTAGTAACCTGAAGCCTTTTCCTGGCTTTTGGCCTTTGAATTCCCATCTCCTCTTTCTCTGGCCTCCCTTCTTGTTCTCAGCTAGCTGGGATTCCAGAAGGAGGTGATCTGGGCCTAGAAAAGGAGCAGATATGTTTTGTTATCCAGGCCTTAGATATTCAGTTGTGTTAGCATTTCTTGCTTAACAGCAAATTGGTTCTGTGTGTCTTTTTGTGAGCAGTAGGAAAAGTGGAGTTTTTATGGACAGTAATATTTAACAAAGCCTTCTTGATCACTCTCTCCCCAACACGTTCTCTCCTGTTCTGAAAATGCCACATAAATCAATCACTGATTCTTCTTTTTTCACCAGGTTCAGTCAATCCAAAGCCTTGCAGGCCTGGCTCATACTGCAGTGCTCGCACAGCCGTGCCCTCCCTGTGCCCTGCTGGATATTACTGTCCTGAAGGCTCATCAACATACAATAGCCCTGAGCAGCTGTGAGTACTTAGCATGGCTGGTGGAGCCAGCTTTGTTTTAAACTCTTTGAGGGACTTGTTTTAAACACAGGCTGCGTGGGTTGTACAGAAGTAAAGGGTATCTTCATAATCACACCTATGGATCTGGTGACTGCTAAGGCTGCTGGAGGATGGGTTATGAGTTGTATCAGTTAGCCTGAGCCTGGAGCCAGATGAGAATCGTTTTTAATTTTGCACTGGTGGTTGATTGCAGAAGTCAGAACGTTTTCAGAGATTTTTCTTCCCTTTTCTGCCTTCCAGATGTGTGTTTCCCTATTACTGTCCCCCAGGCAGTGCCCACCCACTGCCCTGTGAAGGAGGATACATGGCTCTCAGCTCGCCTGGGCCAAGGGATTCCTTTGAGAAGTTCTGCAGAATCTGTGATGCAGGCAGCTATCGTAATGACTCTTTCATCTCTGCTCCCTGTCAGCCCTGCCCAGCAGGCTTCATCTGCCCACAAGGTAAATGTGGCTGCTATGGAGAAGTTGTGCAAGAAATAACTTCAGTGGTAACCAGAAAGCTCTGCGTGGGCAAAGCTCTCAATCCTCTACGGTTTTAAATCCCTGATGTGGGTTGTCGTGTTGGTTGGTGGAGTATTTCTTTTGGTAGGTTGTTAGAAGTGAGAGAAATACATCAAAGATGGTTTGGATCTTGTTGTTCTTTCTCTCAGGATGACTTTGGCCCCCGCAAGCACTATTTTCTCTAATTTTGTGACTCAGCTGCAAGGCCAGGAGTTAATATGATGGAGTGTGATTGTAGGTGTTCAAACCTTGCTGTGAGACAGCCAGTGTTGCATGAATCCTGCTGGGTTAGGAGATAGGAGGAATCTGTGTACAAGCATTTGAAGGACTCCACTCATTGAGCTCCTCAGTAAAATGTAGTTGTGTGTGATCTGGTGCTGTAAAGCATGGGGGAAGATTGTGCCTGTCCACTTGAGCCTCTGGATTTGTCCAGTCAAATCACTGGGAGAAGTGGATTTGGATGTTTATATATGAATAGGTTAATTTGGAACGTATCGAACGTTGGATGATTTTACATATCCATGTGTATGTGTTTATATGTGTCTGCATGTACATCTATAAAGGTGCGTGTATAATTGGAACAGATGAGTGACTTTCTGCCTGTCCTAACACTTGCTCAGTTCCATATGCAGTGTCTGTGTCTGAGACAGCCCCACCACCTTCTCTAGGCAGTGAGACTTACCACAAGAAGCCTTGTCCCGTTGGCTATTACTGCCCTCCCCTGGCATCTGCCCCTCTTCCCTGTCCCCCGGGGACCCATGGGAGCAACAACTTGGCCAAGCATGTAGAGGATTGTCAGGCCTGTCCTGCTGGCACCTTCAATCACCTTCCTGCTCAGGCTGCCTGCTTTCCCTGTGGCAGCTCCTCTTCATCACAGTCAGGTGAGTTGCTGTTTTTGAGCGAAGCTTTGCCTGCAGTTAAGAGAGAGCCTAACAAGAAAATTACCTACAAATGTGATTTTTTTTTTTCACATGCTTCCCCAATGGACTGCGAGTTGTGGGATCCTCATGATGCTGTGTGTGCTAACAGTGCCCACCTGCTCTTCTTCTGCCCTGCTTAGAGGATGGAAGATTCCATTTTCTAAGTTATATTTTGTTCTCCTGTACTCTGTCAGCCAAGGAGTTTTGATCTCAATTCTTTCAAAGGAAGGAAGAGATGAGCAACCCCACTAATTCTTGCTCTATCATTGCCTTGAAAGCAGTGGAGTGCTTTTGCCTTGAGTTGCAGAACTTGCTGTACGTGCAGCTGTGATTTTAAGACAAAACTGGGCAGTGTAACCATGTCCAGCTGAGACTGATAAAGCAGGAAAAGACTGGAAAAGGAGAGGGTGAGAAGCTAAGTATACAGTAGAGAGTGTAGTACTCTACCAGCATTTCAAGTGAAGTGGATTTAATAGTGTTAAGGCACAAAGCCACTGCTAAGAGGGGCTCAGCAGCCTTGACTGACTGAGTCCTTATCCTATCTAGTGGCTTAACATATAAATTGGCGGAGTGTTTGTCAAAATGCCACTGCTGCAAATTCCTGGATGGGTCTTTCTGCCCTTCTTTCTAAATGAATACTTTGAAAATGGTGTAACGGTTTTGGTGGTAGAGCAAAAGGTAGATTGGCTCAGTTCTGCTGTGATGGTGGGCAAGCAAACTCCAGGTGTGCCACTACAAGCAGTGTGATTTGGTCAGAGCACTCAGCACTGGAACTGCTCCTTTACTGTGGGCACAGATTTTGCCAGCTGTATTCCCTACCTTGATTTCCACTCCAAATCCATCTTCCTCTCAGGTGCTACCAGCTGTACCTGCCATGGGCTGAACCGGGCTTTCCAGCACTCAGATGCCTCCTGTATCTGCCAGGCAGGTTACATTTACTATGATGAGCGAGGCAAGGAAAACTCTGACAGCAACAGTGATCAGGACTGCCAACCTCAGGTAAACCTTGGCTCCAAAATGAAGTTGTTGCGTGACATGTGAGTGAGAGTAGTTCAGTGCTTTGGGCACTGCCTCAGCATCTGTGAGCAATTGCAGCTCAGATCACTGAACTGCTGCAGACACAAGAAAGTGCTTTGGCTGCTTTGTTTGGTAGGCATGACCCTTCCTTGTGATATAATGTCACTTGTCTCCTTTCATGGAATCTTGCAAGGCTAAATTCAGTAAGAGCCAGAGGCAAAAGATCTTTCTATGCAAAGACAATGGGGAGCAGCTAAAGCATCTCAGATGACTGATGCAGGAATTTAAGCCTCCATGGTTTCAATATGGAATTCTCCATTAGGGCTGGTTGAGGAGTTTGGATGGGAAGTGAACTTCCCCTGGTCTTTTTCAGTGCTTTTCAAGTTGCCCCCTTAATGCCCCTTGTTGCATTGCCGTTAGGTTGTGTGTTAGTGACAAATGGAGAATTTTAAGGGTGCTGCTTCTCTGCTGAAACACTTGAGCTTATGTGACACGGATTGGATGTGCTGGTTTTCCAGGTGGACGAGCTCTGTGCTCCTGGAGAGATCCGTTTAGCATCTACACGCCGTTGTGTTTCTCCTGAGCAATATGACTGCTCTCCATCTTGTGGGCCTGCGGGTGGAGAGGTCAATGCAGAGCTGGGCATGTAAGTCTCAGCAGCCACTCATTAAGGAATGCTTCACAATGAGTTCTGACTGACTACGTTACTGATCCCATGAGGTCATTTCAGGGTAGGACTTTGGGAGGTGCTTTTGAGAAACTTTCCATTGCTGGAGCTGCTCTGTGTGGAAATACTGGCCTTCAGACCTCGTTCGTTGGCCTCATTCCTCAACCTGTGTTTTGAAAATTACCTGGAGGTTTTTGTGTGTTTGGGTGGAGACAACAGAATGGACACAGAGTGATAAGGTAGGGCTGGACAAAGTTCCCTGAAGGAGACCTTTCCTGCATACCTCAGGTTGAGCCCCCCTCGAGTTTTAAAGCAGAAATGAGTCCTAATCCCACCTTTTAGTGCTGACAGAAGCATTGAAACTAATGTTTGTCATACTCTTTTTCCTCTTTTTTATCCTCTTCCTGACATGGATAGCCCAGAAATCTAGTGGATTAAAATCATATTGTCACTTTCTACCAGTTTTTGAAAACAGAACTCTGGGAAGAATACATAACTCTGCTCCAGTACTGACACTGACCTCTATTAGAGGACAACAGAAGCTGTGTAGGAGAGTGGTGTATCACATTGTGTGGTCCTTAGATTAAGGAAAAAGCATTGAAAAGCAACTACAGTACTGGATGAGCTGAACTGTGAGTTTGGTCCACCTTATTTACCATGAATATAGAGTAGCCCATTCACTGTATGGATTGTAAGTGAGATTGAGGCTAGCTGGACCCTCAACATATTGTAGCTGTATACTTGTGGACTGTAAGTAATGAGAATCTTTTTGCTGTGCAGATGTCACTGCAAACAGTACATCTCTGCTGAGGAGCTCTGTGACCAAATGTGTTTGCTGAGAGCCCCACGGATCTCCTTGGGATTTGGCATCAAAAGAGAGCTGCTTCTGAGGGTGGACGATGGAGTCAGGGTAAGTGTGGATGAGGTACTGCTCTGTCACCTCTCTGTGAGCCTGTAAAGAACATTTATAGATTGCATTTAGATAAAGGGACCCTGGGAACTGATGTTACAAAGCTGTGAGCAGAGAGAAAGAACAGAGTCTTACCACATCTCATAACCCAGAGTAGGGACTAGGCAAGAGATGGGCACGTTAATGAGAAATGATGTTGTGGCATAAAGCCTCGCTAGAGCAGTGTTGCACAGCTGATGGTAATGTTGATTACAAAGCAGGGTTTGAGTCCAGGGTTGCATGTACCAGTGATCAGTGTTCCCTCCTGCTTTTAATAGGAAGTGACAAATGTTCTGGGCCCAGATGAACACGTGCAGAAGAGCCAGAGGGTGCATTTGGTTCTGTTTAATCCCAGTGGAGTGCTAGGTTTCATTGTCTCCAGCATGGATATCTTGGATGCATTTCTCTCAGGTAAGACTTGAGAGCACCTTGAGATGAGCCTAATTCCCAGCAGGCTAAGCTGTCAACTTCCTTTCAGGTCATCACAACAAGTGGGCAGCAGTTTGGCACAAAGGGAATTCAGTGTCAGACAGCCCAAACTATTTACAAAGTGGAGAGGGATCTCTTTCTTTCTGGGACTAAACAACAGGAGCCCTCACTGCTATATAGTTAGCTCTCTGGGAAAAAGGTCAAATTAAAATGATGTTGGCCTCCCAAGGAGCTAAAAGAAAACTCCCTTCAGTGGCTCATCTGTCAGTTTGCATGTACTGGCTCTTGATTCCAATTGCTCCCAGTGCATGGTAATGTCATTTAGAAATAGAACTCGGCCTTGTGAGCTCAAATCACTTACAGATACAAAATAAAAAGTTTTGCATTGCCAGGGGTTAGGAGCTTTCATATGCTGCTCCTTTACTTACTGTTTTTTTTCTGTTGCCTGTGGCAGGAGATTTTTCATCAGATCAGTTGGAGCAGAAAGGTCATAGAGTCCAGAGGGCTCTCTTCAAAGATATCCATGCTTTGCCCCTTGTCCCTAACCCAGTGGTATGTTTGGAAGCAGGAGACACAATCCTTTTTCAGCTTAGCATCAATTCTCACAGTGAGTGTTGTGTGGGTAAATATATAACAAATATAAAATGCTTTTTGCTGATAGATATATGTGTCCAGACGTGTTTGCAGCAGTGACTGTGCATTTGGTAGTACTGCATGTACGAGCACATTCCTTCACCTCCCAGTCACCCTTGCCTTCAAGGGATTCATGATCTTTAGTCTGGCTCTGCCAGTGACTCATCTGACGTTTTTTACATTTTGGCTGGATTTCTGTAGACTACAGATAATACAGTTCCTCTGTCAGAAGAGCAGTGTGCTTGCTGGGGAGTAATGCACCCTTCAAATAAATGAGTTGACACTGTAGGGCTCTGTAAAATAAATCCAATTTGAAGCCAGCATCAGCTGTCCTAACTGAAGTGAGTCAGAGTTGCTGACATTGTGCCAACACTTCCCAGATCGTGCATCCAGCCACTACCCTGTTTATCAGAAGCAGCATCTGTATAACAGCAACCCTAGCTGGGATTATGGAGCCTTCCGAAGGCTGGACCACCTCATCCAGGAGACTCACCTCAACATCTCCTGGTAATATCTGGTGTGACTGATAGTGTGTGTGCTAGGTGTAGAACTTGGGAGCAAGTCTTCCACAGAAGCACTGGGACCTTGGCAGTGGATAGCATGTGGAAATGTAGAAGTATGGTGTGTTTAAGTCCATGTATTCAGCTGTCATCCCTGCTGTAAGCTGAAGGACAATTGGATCAGTTGGTGCCTTCCTTCTCCCTTCTAGGTTTGCCCATGTTTTCCTGGAGTCTGGGACATTTGTATTCAGGGATAAGACCGTTCAGGAGCACTTTTTGATTGTGACTGTGAACAAAGCAAATGTGGGCTGTGACCCCAGAGATGTGTCCTTCCAGCCCTCTTCTCTGTTCCAGCTGTCCAGACATGGGATTTTGAAGCAGCAGGAACTGAACTTAGCTCCTAACTGGGCTTCCATTATAGGTACAGCCAAAATGCTGTGATATGTTGAACTCTGATGCTTAGCTGTAGCCTTTATTGTACCTTCTTGGGTGTGTTTAAACCAGCATTTATTTAGAAATACCATCTGTCCACACTGTCATTTTTAATCCATTTCCTCTGTGGAGTTTCCCTTCCCAAAGGTTGCTGCTCTCTAGCCAAGAACCTGCTTGTGTAGGAGCCAAAGGGGGAGAGAAGGAGCAGTTACATTTCTACCCACACCCTGCTTGAAGAATTCAAGTAATTGAGAACTTTGTTTCCCTTGGCATGAAAGCAGAAAGTGTATGTTTCCGTGATAAACTAAACTGGAATTAAATGCATCACTGAAAAGTTCACTGAAGGCTAACCACAAGGGCAGTTAAGGTCTTTCCCAAAGCCCTATCTCTGTGTAAGTGCTCTGCCCATGCCAGTCTCTTGTCCTTCATTCAGAGGACAGCAAAACAGTAGAATTGATGTCATGGTTTGCAGGCATGAGCTTTGGTTCTGTCACCTTCAGATGCATGCACTGAAACTGCTTTGTCTCCTTGCTCACATGCAACACAGATCAAGGAGGGAAGGAGCAGAAGCCCGTGTCATGAAGATGAAAGTTGTTAAATGTCTGGTTTCTGTGGGAAGGAGAGCACTGAGTAAAAGCGTAAGGGGAGACTGCGCTGTTGATGCACGCTGCTTCCTGTGTTTTTCACTTCTTGCCATCCATCTTGGTTTTCCCAGCGGTGCTCTTCATTCTGGGCTTCCTAATTGTGCTGCTGACAACCCTGGCTATTGTGCTGCAGCCCACTGTTCCTGTCCTCAGTCCTCTGAGGAGCTGGAAGCCACGATGGAGGAGCCTGGGTGAGCCGCACATCCCACCAGAGTACATCCTTCTTAAAGAAAGGTGAGCTGCCTTAGCATGGTGGATAATCAGGAGCTTGGACCTTGACAGTACAGTCGTGTCCTCTTGCAGTTACTGTGTGATATACCCAGTGCTGAACTCCTTGCAAGCACTGCACAGATTCAGTTTCTAACTGTATGGAAAATTCACAGTGTTTCCCAATAGTATTCCAGCTTTCTTCCAGCATGGTGTATGACAGCTCTGTTGTGTCTTCTGCAAAGGATACTGCTCTAAGAATTACCTGGCATGCTCTTGTTCTCTGTGTTTTGAATCTAGACAAGTGGCACCTTCTGGTTGAACTGGGATAGCAGTCCTGCAGTGCCTGGTTTTAGTGAGGTGAATCTCTGTGTCAGATACAGAAATGCTCTTCACCATCTTCTTTCATTGCCTCTAGCCTTCTGTACTATCAGATGCTTGGTCCTTGTGGTTCTGGAGGAGATGCTGCCTTTGGAGAAAAAGGAGCTGTGCGTAATGAAGGTGAGGTGTTGTACCAGTTCCAGGCTTCTCCCTTTGGCTTTTGTTACACTGGTATAATAATTTTGATTCCTCCTTCCCCAGAAACGTGCACATAAGTGGTCACTTTAACTGCTGTGCACTAGTATGCAGGCATCTACATACACACAAGCACATATTTCTATTTTAGATTCATTTAATCTCTTCATCTGAGGTCTGTAAGCTCCTGTTGTGGGGATGGATCAGTGTTTTCTTCTCTCGATGGTAGGAGGGCAAGTGACCAGCCCTGAAAAATCATTTAGAACACCAGTGTGTTCAGATGACTAGTGAAAATAATTGAAATCTTTAAAACAATTCCCTGGGTTATTCTGTTGCTTATTCTATTTTCTGAACACATGTGACTCGTGGGCCTTTTTAGCCTTCAAGGCATGACTTCATCTTTGGGATTTCTGGATGTTCACAGAGCAGAGCACACCCAGAGCCCAGCAGATGGCACTATGTATTGGTGCTGAGAGCATCTGGTGGATAAAGTACCACTCAAAGCTGTAAATGCAGTACAGAAGTAGCACCCTGACAGCTTGCTGGGCAAGTTAGAGGTTGATAGTAACGCTGTGTCATCCTCCCCTTACTAAGGAGTGAGACCTTCTCTTACACAGCATGCCTCAATTGTGTTGTGTTTGTGCTTCTTCACAGTACACAAAAAAAACTGTGTCCTCCTATGGACAGTCATTGCCCCTAGGGAAATACCTTAGAATAGATCTGTGGCCAGTGGTCAATCATGAGGCTTACCTTGTGTTTCAGAAGGATGTCGTGCAGTGAAAGACCTGGAGGATTTCAGTGTTCGCACTCTGTACGATAAATTGGAAGATCAGAATTTGCACCTGGCAGCTCAGCTGGCAAAGCACAGGAGGGATGTGTTGGTGTTTTACAATGGAATCAGCCAGCAGCTTCAAGGTCTCATGGTCAGTGTAAAGAAAGAACTGTGGGAAAGCGGGTCTTGAAACTGAAGCTTGCAAGTGGCAGTTTAGTGAATGATAGGTCTTGCTCCCTGCTGTCCCCTGTTTTGGTATAAAATAGTTTATGCTGATCTCTAGTTTGGTGTGAGAGACAGAAAGTGAAATGGATGGATTTTGAGGCTTTTAAAGAATAATTACTGCTTTGTTATAAACAGGACATGGTGCGAGCACTGGATGCTAAGGGCCTGAAAATCCTTACCAGGCAAAGGGTTTGTGGGCATAAATCTGCAGACAGCAGCTGGGCAGCAGTGGGCATGGAGCAATGTGAGGAGCACTGCAGCAGCAGCTTCCATGCAGCAGGGCAGGCAGGTAAGAGAAGCACCACATGGAACAAAAGAGAAGTGGAGTGTGAGGGAATGTTTAAAAACAGCTCATATCAATGAGATTGTGCCTTCATTCAGTAAGAGCTGACAGCCTGTCTTCACATGAGTTCAGTGAGGATACAAGCCTGCCAGCTTAGGAATGGGTGAGCAGAGAGTTACAGCACCCTCCCAAAATTACAGCAAAGCATAATGAATGCAGTGCTATCTGATCACCTTCCCAGGAGGCGTTTTGGAACCTTCTTATGGGATTTCCAAAGAAAGATGTCTGTTTTTAGATTTGCTCTGGTGGTGATAACAGTTTTTTGTGTGTTCCTGTAGCAATCCATTTGAATCACTTGTTGGGTTCCATTAGGTGCACTGCAGCAAGAGGCAGTGGAATTGATGAAAGCATTGGAAATCCTGCTTGGGAGAGCTCAGCCTAAGAACACGAAACAAGAGATGGAGCAGCAGGTCCATGGACAGGACATGGTGGCAGTTTTACCCTCACTGCACAGTGAAAGTAAAGTAAAAGTAGTGGAAGGGCAGGTGAGCTGCAGGTGTTTGCTGTCGGGCCATCCCTCACCTTTATGCTTCTTTTTTTTCCCCCACCTGCCCATTTCTTTAACTCTTAGGCCTTCTTTGTTCAGGGTTATAAGCTGCCTGAGCAAGAAGAGCTCTTCCATAGGAGGGGTGATGTCTTCAGCTTCCCTGTGCATGAAGAATGCGGTAAGTGTGCCATGGTACTCTTCAAAGATGATGGTAGAAGACTGCCTCCTTGAAGCCTACAGACTCCCTTACACTTCATTCTTAAGCAACCACTTGGAAGGAAGAGATTGAGTGTCAAGGAGTAAATTAGAGGTGACAGGCAGCTGTCCAGTGCAAGAGAGCAAGATGGAGCATCCAGCTGCATCACTTACCTCAATAGCTGCCTTTTTCCTTTTCAGAGAAATGCTTAAGAGGCAATTCCTCAGAGGATATGAGGAGTACCCTCATCCCCATGGATCCAGCCACTTTGTCACCTCACCAGTTTGTGGTGTACCGCTTTGGCTGTGCACTGGTGCACCTGTTAACCAAGGCCTGCTCATGTCCTGCTTTGGTGCTCATGCTGGCTCAGTCCATTCCTGCCCAAAGTCCAGATCAAGCTCTTCTCCCAGGCTTTGGAGACTCCTACTACGATGCCATTGATAAGAACCTGTATGTGCATGCAGCAAGGCTGGAGGATGCTGGGGAGCTTATTGCTGTCCTGCTGAACACTGTGGCCTGGATTGCAGCAGGTAGGGCTGTGATGAGGAGTGTTTATCCCATGGGAGCAGCACTGTTTGGCCTTCACTGCTATGCATGTGAGAAATGAGCTCTTGTATTGAGATACCCAATTAAATATCTGCTTTTCTTTTTTCCAGGGTCCTGTTCACAAAAGCAGGCAGGATTTTATGAATCCTGTGAGCAGGATTTCCTCTTTGTAGCAGGAAATTTGTGCCTTGGATAAGGGTTATACTAGAATCTGTTATTCTGCAAGCACAAGAGAACTGTTCCTTCAGTGTTCTGACTTAAAACAGTTTTGCTGTCAACAAATGTGACTTATTCCTTTTGCTTTGCTTTAGGTTGTCCCTCAGCTTGCACTGCTCATTCCTGCTTTATGATGGAGCTCAACAGAGCTATTGTGGCTCTCGCCAATGCCTTCTTCCAGGTTTCATTGGGGATAGCAGACAAGGTATGTAGGGTGTTTTCCTCTAATGGCAGTGACTGCTCCTTGAGATGTTACTGGGCAGAAATAGATTCTCCAGTTTATAAGGTGGATTTCTACTACTTTTTTTTTTTCCTACTTCTACATCACTAGTGCAATTAGAGGTGTTAAGATTAGATAGACGTAATATGAAGCAGAAATGGGGAAACTCTTCAGGTGTACAGAGTTTGAGTAATGCCTCCTTGAGAAGGGATTCATCTGCACTGCTTGTGCACTGGCATCTTAAACAGTAAAGGATTTAAGATCTACAGCTAAGTCTGGCTTCCTAGGATAGTTGATGACCAGAAACTGTTCACTAGAAAGGAGCCAGATTTTGTCAGTTTTACTTGTTAATTTGCCTGCAAAACTTAGCAGATGATGTTTGGGGATTGTGATGCTCTCTCTGTGCACTGTTTGAATGTGTTGGGTTTCATGTGTTTTTTTGGCTCCAACTTCAGGACCCCTCAGGCTCATCTGATTGCTTTGACACTCAGAAAGTGCTCAAAGAACTTCTGAGCATCAGAGTAGCACCACATCCCCGTGTGAAGGGAAAAGCCCTGGGTGAAAGGTACAGTGGATCAACACATTACTGCTAGTGAAATAAAAACATCCACTTCATGTACAATGTACTTTGGATGGTGATGTGTTACTGTTCTGTTTTGGGTGACAACACGTTGTTTCTCTCAAAGTTTGCAAGGATGCAGGCTGCAACAGCCCCCTCTTCATCAGACCTTGGTAAAAAGTCTTTCACAGACTCAGAATTACGTGGAGATACAGGATGAGACCATTCACAATGCCATCCTGTACATTTTTCTTTTCAGAAAAGTAAGCGATAATGTATGGGGTGTACTTCTGTGAAATGCTCCCTTTCTTATTTCCAGAAATTTCTTCCTGAAATTCGTGTTGTTTCTCTTCCCATTAGGGTGTCTGGACTGCAAAAGTACCAGTGCCTTCATCTGCAACAGGGGACCCTAGACAGGATGGGAAATTCACAGAGAAGTGACTACAGCAGGAATGCAGACTCCTCTTCTGCTAAGGTCAGTCATTTGTATTTTTGTTTCTTTTCTAACAGTTGTCCATCAACAGCTTTAGAACTATACCAGATGTTTTGAGTGCACAGGGGAAAACAAACAGTCTAATGTTTTAGGAAGTCAGTAATGTCTGTTGTCTTTCAATTCTCGCCCTATACAAATTGGCAATAGTCATCAAATATCCCAAATGATGTGCATGTCTCTAAATATATTCAGAGAGTCCTAATTCAGAAAGTATGAAGTTCTTATGCTCTCGAGATGAACACCTGAACTTCAAACTAATTTTTGACAGTCTTATTCAACCTAAATCTGACAGGCACATTTCATTGATTGGCCCATGTTTGGAAAGGAGCATCACCTCTGCATCTCTCTCTGTTAAGGCACTGCTAAGGATTTGCTTTCAGTGAGACATCTCCATGACTTGCTGTTATGACATGACCTCTCCTCAGAGTTGGCATGCCTATCTGCCTACCCCTAGGAGTGAGCCCTGCTAGGGGATGCTGCTGTTGTAGAATGTTTGCTGTTTTCCTGTTTTGTGTTCTCTAGTTGGAGGTTACACAACTGGAGGAGAGGCTGGATGAACTAAATGAGGCGTTTGTTGAATTGACAGTGCAGGCCATGAGTCTGCAAGAAGATGGGGATCTGTTGGAGAAAGAGCTGAGAACACAGGAGGAGTCACTTGTGGTATGAGTTGTCTTCTACTGGGTCATCTTCCCCCAGCCCCAGGGAAATGGCCACAGCTCCTCACCTTCATGTAGGTGTATGCCTGTGTGATTCAGCTTAGCGATACCGTAGAGGTGAAAAGGGTACACAGGAGAGTTGTTTGTGTTGATTGGTTACATGCACACCCAAAGCCCCACGAGTTCCAATATCTTCAGTTGGAGGAGGCAGATTTTTTCCCTTTAGCATAAAGGGTAACAAAAAGGAACAAACAGCTTGAATTAAATGATGCGCTTCATAGGCAGAACTTGGGAGCCAGGACTCCCCTGGCCTCATCTCCATGTGTGACACTGGATAATTGTGGTAAATTTTTTGTTCATTAGTCTCTCCACTTATTTTTTTAAAATACACTGTGTAAGCTACAATAATAAGCAGATTCATTGAGACATATGAAGAGTCCTAGAATCACCAAGGTTGGAAAAGACCTACAGGATCATGCAGTCCAACTGTCTGCAGCAATGTGGTGGAAAGCAAAGGATTTGATTTAATTAGAGGAGGGTTGCATTATTTTGAAATTGATACTGTGGGCTTTGCAAAGGCCTAAGGGTGCTGTCAGCAATGCACAGTGCAGCTCGTCCCATGCTCCTGTATAGGCAGTGCATAGTGCTGGCAGCAGTTGATTCTGTCCCAGATTTTTGCTCCTTGGTGGCGTAGGTATCGCTTGATGCTGTCCAATGAATTTACACCCTGCTTTTGCTTTGATTTTGTGTAATAGACTGCAAGCAAGAAAGAAGCGTGGGGAGCTCAGCGGTATTCTGAAATGTTAGATTCTTGGGCCACAAAGAGGGATGAAGCCTTGCTGCTGGAAGTAGAGAGGAACTGCATTGCTCAGAGGATCGAAGAGATAGAAGCCCAGCTATTGCATCTTCAAAGTACAGAAGCCAGCAGTTCACTTCCTTGAGGAACCTAATTTAAAAGGCAATGGCTACAGCATTGATGTGTATGTAATTAGAGAGGCACATGATCAATTATCTTGTGGACAATTCATATTTGTTGGGTTTTTTAGTTGATTGAAGTATACTAATGCTCAGCTATCAATAATGTGTAGGCGTGAGGGATAAGCTGAGGTTCTTAACATTTTTCACTAATTTTAGAGTTTCTGTTTTAAGTCAGTAAAACAGAAATGATGTGAAGCCACTAATGGCCCCTACTTAATGTGTTCTGTATAGGCTCTGACATCTGACATCAAAGGTATTTTTGAGGATCTTTTAGGTACAGTTTAGAACCTTACTTCTAAGCCTTGCCCAGCAACTCCACACTGCTATGCATGTTTTCATTGTAATCTTACTGATCTCAATGAGGTGTGAGTACACTTAAATTATTCCCTGTAGTGATGACTGCAGCAATTTGTGTAGCTTCTGGTATAGCTTCCTGCTCCATCTCTTTCTGCACAGCTTTCCTTAGTTCCAGGTGAAGTAGAACAACATAAAATTGCTTGACTGTGAGCCAGTACAATGCCTGGGCAAACCACACAGGTAGGCTTCAGCCAGCTATTTCCAACAACAAAGCCAGTTCTCTTTTCATTCTGCAGTATTTACTGAATTGCTTATGCGTGAAGAAACTTGTGTACCTGCTCTTTCCTGGTTCCTAAACACAAATCTGTCCTTACTCATTCTCCCTTAGCAGAGTGTATTAATTAGAGGGTGAGACTTCAATGCCAAGGAGCCCAGACAGAAGCCCTCGACTCTGGTCTCGCTTACTGGTGTCTCTGGTGGATCCAGAGGAACTTCATGTTCTTTTTCTCTCACCTTCTCATTTTGCTGTTTACAAGTTTTCTGAGCTTGCTCTCAGAAGCAGAAGGTTTGTTTTGGTTCCTTTGCAACCTCACCTTGGGAAAATTCAGTTATTTGCTGACACTTTGAAGGGCCTTTAAGGAAATGAGAGGATTTATGGAAGTCAAATATACCTATTGGCAAACACTATGAAACAGTGGGATTTTCTTTCCTAGATTACAGCAGTGAAAAGGCTGCCATTGCTCTCCTTATTGCTTTCTTCTTTTAGGTTATCAGCAGATACTTTTATAACAGTACACTGCTGTCTCTGTAATATCCACAGGAAAACATCTAGATAGGTGGTAAAGTTACCTCTGCGTGCTCTGTGTGTTATATTTTTAAAAGGCAGACTGGGAGGCATTAGCAAATAAAATGTGTCAGTTTTTCATTGCAACAGTTTTCTCATGGAAGTAACTTTCTGCTTTGGATTGAAGCAAATGCACGTGTGTAGAATTCTGCTGGCAGTTCTCTCTTTTCCCCATTGTGGCTTTCTTAACAAATGCACTTCAGCTATAAGTAAACTGCTTTAGGCTTCAGAATGTGTTGGTTTTTTTCCCCCGCAAAATGAAAAAGTGTTAATGAAAAGTCCAGAGTTCCACATGATGTTACCTTTCATGTTCTGTTGGTAGTTACTAGAGGAAAAGAAGAAACAAATGAAATTGGACAAGGCTGAGTGCAAGATGCTGCACTTGGGTCAAGCTCGTCCCAGGTAGGATTACAGACTGGGAGAACTCCTTGAGAGCAGCCCTGCAAAGAAGGAGCTTTGGGTCCTGATGGATAAAAGCGGGACATGAGGCAGCAGTGCCTGCCTGCAGCCCAGTAGGGGTGCTCTGGTACCCATAGAAGGGTTGTCCTTATCTGCAGTGCTGTGTTCAGGTCTGGGGCCCCTGTACAGGAGGGTTGTGGTGCTTCTGGAGCAGGTCCTGGAAAGGGCCTTGAAGATCATCAGAGTCTGGAACATCTCTGGGAGCTCCAGAAAGGTTGAGGTAGTTGGGCTTGTTCAGCTTGGAGAAGAGAAGGCTCCAGGTAGACCTCATTGCAGTCTTCCATTAGGTGAAGGGAGCTTTAAGCAGGAGAGGGACCAACTTTTTTTACACAGTCTGACAGTGATAGGAAGAGGCTCTGAAGTAAAAGAGGGGAGATTTAGGTTAGGTGTTAGGAAGAAATCTTTTCCTTAGAGGGCAGTGAGGCACTGCTGCCCAGAGAGCTGTGGGTGCCCCATCCCTGGAGGCACTCAAGGGTGGGATGGGGCCTTGGGCAGCCAGAGCTGGTGGGGGCAACCAGCCCTGCCTGGGCATTGGAACTGGTCCCCTCCAACCCAAGCCATTCTGTGATTCAGCGAAATACAAAGAGGAGTGGTGCAAGCATGTATTTCATTCTTTCTTTGAAGTATTTACTGCTGGTAGCTCTTTTTCCAGCCCTCTCTGAAGTCTGGAAGTCAAGCACTTTCTGGAGTAGCTGTGAAGTCACCCTCGGGTTTGGAAGGCTGCTGTTACCGTGGGACTGCTGATAAGGCTGATGGAGTCTAGGATCTTTTACCTTGAAAGAGAAGGTATGGTGAGATTCCTAAAAAGATCTCTTCAATTAATGGCTTTGTGTGGCTCTAAGTTCTGAAATAAGGCCTTGTCAATCTGGGTAGTATGTAAAGCTAGTTTCTCAGTTAACGAAGCCAGACAATATTAATGGTGGTGCTTGTTGCAGTGACTGAAGCCCTGCTTGGCTGTGCTCATGTAGTTAACACTTGTTTCTCACTCATATAGAGCCAGAAACTTTGAAATACTGATGAAATGAAAGGTCCAACAAAAACATCTAATGAAAATGTCCACTGAGAATTTCATTGGGCACCTGAAATTCAAGTTGCTTTTGGAAATGGTCAAATTGAAGCTAGGATTCCCTCTGTACAGAAAGGAAATTTCCTAGCCACCTCAGTTCCAACCTCAAAAAAAACGTTCTTTCAAAAGTTACTGAGTTTATGACATGCTTTTATCTCTTCCAGGACCTGAAGGTCCCCATGTGGCTGTGCTCATGCCACTGCTGGAAGACCATAATCACTCCAGAGTTCCTGGGCTGATATGTGAGGTGAGTGTTTCTATAACCTTGTTCCCAAGCCCGAGAGAGTTTTGTGCTGGTTTTGTTCTTCCAGAAGGAATAAAATCCTGAAAAGTTCTTAATTTATAGTTAGAATAGGAAGTCTTTCTTTCTAAAACTAAAAAGAAAAAAGAAAAAAATGAAAATTCATTTTGAAGTTCTGGAGTAACAGCTTAGATGGAGTGTACCCTGGCAGTACCAGAATGTCACTTGATCTTTTCTTATCAGCTTTGTTTTCTCTGCTCTCTGCAGCTAAATTGGGAATGTGGGAAGATTGAGAAATGTCACCAAATACAGCAAACAAGCAACCTTGCTTTTGGAGGTTCCATCCACAGCAGGTGAGCCTCTGACCTGAATGAGGTCTAATACTTTGGCAGTGCCCCCAATTCTCTCCATGAGCACGTTGTGTTTCTGTTGCACATAAATGGAGTCATTCACTTCAGGACAACAGGAATAGAAGTGGGGGTTCCCCTTCCAAACAAACTAGGTAACTATAATAGAGTCAAATGGAAGCTGTTGCTTGGCACTGAGGTTTTGGAGGATGTCTGTATATTTGTTGGCTTATTTCTTGATGAAGTATCTCATTTGTTGGGGTGTTCCCAGAAGCCTGACATAGTAAATGACTCATTTTTATGAGAAAAGAGTGGTCTCGCTAAGCTGGCTCATCAGTCAGTCCATTGGAAGCCAGATACATGCTTATAGCTTTGCCCAATGAAGCCTTGATCCTTGCAGACACAGCTGTATGCTGAACTGCAGCAACTGGCAGAAGGACAGACTGCACCCCTGCTGCTTTCAGGACCAGTCTTGTAATGAATTCATCTTTAACTTAGCTGTTCTCTAAAGCTGTTGAAGTAAACGTGTCCTTAGTGCCCTCAATTCAACTTTTACCTGTCCTCCCTGGTAAATAACTTTATCACTTGTCAGTGGGTTATAGCTGCATGGGATGGACCTTGTCCCATCTGTAAGGTTCTAGTAATCCTGCTGATGATCTGTGCTGAGTGCTTGTTTATACACTGCAAAATTAGAAACATATTGAAACTGCATATAATATTTAAGATAAACTTGCAAAAGTAAGAGATGAACTTTTCTTATTCAAGGTTCCTCTTTAAAGAGCAGCTATAAAAGCTAATCACTGAGAGCATAACTTTCCTCTGTAAAACACCCAGTGATACATTGATCTCAGAATAAGTTCACAAACAATTTCAGAATTGCAACGCTTGCTTTTTGTGTTCATTATTTTGTTGCTGAAAATATTTCAGATTAAATGATCTCCAAAATGTATTTTTCTAATGGTGGCCCCCACAAGAAAAAAGAGATGCTGGGATGTACCAGTAAGATTCCTTACATGTTGATGACTGTATGCTGAAAATCACTAGTGTTTATGTGAGCTCTGTGCGATGGTCTTGGGTGTATTTAATAGTTGGTGTCCTGCAACAAGGCACTGATGTTCACCCAGCAATTCCTACACCTGTTCCTGGCTTTGAAAGAAAAAGCAACAACTCTTTTCCTTTAAAATCGAAGAGGAAATCTGTGGTTATGGTCACACAGTGTCATCTGGTTTCAACCCCCCATGTGTTATTCGTTCTGACTTAGGTTAATGCATACTTCGTGCCCAGTGGGTAGCATTTCTTTTCTATAAGATGTGCAGAAGTTCCAAGGTGTGCTGTGATGATACAGGAAGGATCACTGCAGGTCACATTGCTGACTTGCTGCACTGTTGATGGCAGTTACCAAAGGTATGAAGTGATGGAGCTGCAAAAGCATGTTCTGCTGGTACTAGGAAGGTACAGAAGTAGTACCTGCTCTGGATTTGTGGACTAAAGTTTGTTGGAAAACAGCATTTCTGTGTGGTAGCACCACAAACAGCAGTTACTTTGGGGTGAAATTTCCCTGTTTTCTCTTGAATGTACAGAATTCATTCTTAAGAAAACTCTGGAGAAATGGAAATCAGATCAAGGTAGCTGCTTCCTGGGGAAGAGCTCCTTCTTGAGGGAGGAGGTGCTTGGTTTCCCTTTTTGTCTGTTCCTTACTGGCAGTATAGAGGAGAAACCATTAAAAAATACACTCCTATCTACCAAAAGCAACAGACATCAATTCCCTATCTTCCTTCTCACCCATCTGTCAGTCAGTTAAGTTCTGAGAAATGAAAGCCTCAAAATAGCAGAGAAGATATGCTGTTCTCTATGAGAAATCTGCTGCAGCCCATCACCTATGAGCAACTAAGCAAACAACTTCATATTTCCTAGTTCTAAAGCTGTACCAGGTGTACACCTGTAGTGTTCTTGGAAAAATACCACAAGATTAGGAGAAAAGGTGCTAATAGGCCCGTTTCTTGGAGAAAATGTGCCAAACCAAACACAGATAAAATAAAGAAGGTTGCATTTTGAAAGCTGTTAGTTGCCAGGTGCCCAGCTCTTACGAAGTTGCACTGAAGGACCGTTGCATGTAGGGCTGATAGGTTGCCCTGTGTGAGTGGTGCCAAAGGAGATGCCAGCTGATCCCTGGGTTATGCTGAAAAAAACCTGAGTCTATGTGCTGTCCAAATCAGAAGCCTCTTGTAATGCTGGATATTGAGGTCGTGCACTTTTCAGTAGGTGTAAGAAACAGCATTTTTCCAGAGCAGTTTGTCTGAAGCACCCAGCTTGTTGGGATCCACAGGCTGAGCTTTACTGCAATGTCAGAAGGCAGGAGGTGAGAATTAGCAGAGTCCTGAGTGCAGATCCTGGGCTGAAGAGCTTTGTAGAAAAGTGCCAGATAACGAATGTGCTTACAAATAATGCCAGGGGGGAGATCAGAAGAAAGAGTGGGTATTTGTGGTTGAAATTTATATTATGATACTTCTGAAGAAGTTAGAAATGGGAGCAGTAAGAAGACAGAGTCCTCTCTTAATGCTCCTATGCAATTGCATTTATTCCACCTGCTGAAATGTCAGTGTGTTTATTTGCAGTAAATGAGGTCAGGACCTGTTTTGTTTCTTTGTCTCATCAGAGAAGCAAGCTAATTTTTTCTGCAGAAGCAGTGTGCTACACTGGGTGAGCAGTCTGAACTCTTTCCTGGATAAATAAATTTTAGATGTCAATACAATTTAATCCATATTAAGTCCCTCAGCAATTGTCCCCAATCAATGATTTACTACCCTAAACAGTTTCTTTGTAGTGCATTTGCCTGTGTTTTGTAGGTCAGCAGTAACTAAGAATGAGGAAGACTTTTGTGGTGTTATAAATCCTTTGCTTACCTTGGCTTCTCCACCCTCTGTTAGCAAACTGCAGTTTCAAAACTCCTAGCCAAGCTCAAAAAGGAAGTATTCATGCAGCAGTTACTCCTGTTGGGTTTTATTCTTTCGTGACTTTTTTCTTCTGGCCACATTCACCTTCTGGACTGGGAGGGACCAGTCTTCAGACTTGGCTGTGCAGATCCTGGACTCAAGGAGAAATTCACCTTGTGGGAAAAGCTAATCTCAGCAACGAGCAAGCTGGATCCAGATGCAGTCTGAACAGGAGGCTGTGCAGCCAAGCGGCTCCTTACCCTTCCAGTTGCTATTCATACTTCATTGGGTGGTGCTGATGTGGGGGGGCAGTTCTCCTACACCCCAGTTGACCTGCCCTGGTGTGCACCCTGTAAAGAAAGTTCAGTTCAAGCTGGCCAGCTGGGAGCTGGGAGGAGATTCGTCTTGGGAACATTCTGTCTGTTCAGGATGTAATGAACTTTCCTCCAAAATGGCTCATATTTGGCTATTCCTGACAAAAGTGTAGAACGATTCAAGTCTAGTCTAGCACAGTTGACTCGAACCCACTGAGAACTATAAACAAGATTCAATTCATCCACAGTAAAGAGAAGAAACCGGTTCTGGCCAGGGCTGTGTTGCTCCCAACATGGCAAAATAGGGCAGAAAGTCAGAATGGGGGAAGCTCTATACATTTCCCAGAGTGACTGACCTGGATACCTGAAATGCAAATGTAGGAGTGCAGCATTGTGTTTCTGACCTGAAGACTTCCGTATTTTGACAGGGAGGGTGCCAGGAGTGGCTTCTTCCTCCAGTTCTGCTGGTAACTGAGATTTGGGTGAAATCTGTTAATGTTTGTGCTTTAGGAACCTGAGGTTGTGTAAACTAAAATCACGAGTAGGTCTGTGCTGTCCTTCTCTGCATTGTTTTGTAGTGACAGCGTTATAGTAGGCTTCTTTTCTAAGTCTTGAAAGAATTCAGGCTCTGATTCTAGAAAGAGCTTGGGCCTCCTTAGGCAAAAGGCCAAGTGCAGAGCATTGTCATGTGTTAGCAGTCTCCACATTGGCACATCCATTGAGTAGTTCTTTGTGTGACAGTACGTTGAGGAATTTAGCAAAAGCTTTTGTGGTCTCCAAGTCATTTCCTGCAAAATGAGTATGAAGCCTACAGCAGAATAGTGACGTTCTGCAATGGAACGTGTTCTACTGATCTCAATTTATTTCAGAGAGGAACTAAGTGAAAATCTGAGATCAAGGACATTGTGATAACTCAAGTGTGTCCTTTTTTTACGAGTCTTACCACCCAACCTGTGCCTTTGCTTTGTTGAAGTGTGGTGTGCTAGCAAGAAACGTGTCAGTGTTGGTTACCTCTTCCATCTCATGGCTTGATATGGTGCAGGAGCTCTCAGCTCAGGCATGACAATGGATGTCACCACCTGGTTCTGGTTTTGTTCAGGTCTAACTAGTGTTATTCTCAAGGGTTTTATTATGATCATTGTGATGTATTGCTGTGTACTTCTTGGGCTAGTTTGCCATTTCTTTGGCTGTTGCCCTTCCTCAGGTCTCCTTACATCACTTGTCTTCATAAAGCAGTACTTAGAAGTCAAATTCTCCTCTCACAAACGAGACTTCTTTCTTTTTTTGTTACAAATGCAGAAAGCTGCAGAGGATTAGCACCCTGGGCATCTTTAAAAATAGCTGTATGTTCTTTTTCTACCTCTTTCTGTCACATAACTTCAGTGCATCTTTGTGTCTGCTTCCTCCTCCCAGCCCTCCCGGCAGGCAAGTAGCAGAACCAAGCTCAAAATAAATGATTGCAAGGCACTGCTGTGAGTGGTACCTGAACTTTAACCCTCCTCCTTCCCAGAAGAAGTAAAGGTAGCTTCTTTAGGCTATGGGGCTTTTGGATTTAGGAGAATTCCCTGTGCTTTGTCATATGGATCTCATCTGCTCTCTTACCTGGTAGGCTGTTTCAGATTTATTTGTGCAGAACTTCTGATGCGCTGCTGATCCACTGAACACAGTTCATCCATTCTGCACATTTTTCCATCTCTCCTTCTGTCCCTCTTTCTTCCAAGGCCTTACTTTTAGGATTCATGGATCAGGACTGTTCCTGCTTAAATGCATGCTCCTTATTTGCAGACCTCGGTTCACATCACTTTCCATGGCTTGCTGTTTCTCTTTTTTCTTCTGTATTTTCCTACTTCAGTTCTGGTTTTCAGCTTTTGATTGGAATTACCTTATCGAGTGTCTGTTGGCTGTAGCAGTTCTTCTATACTATTCTGTACTACAGTATACAGTGTTTTTCTGTTGAATCTCCTAGCTCCAACAAGCTGTATGAAGGCAAACAAATAGGATAGCATACACTGATGCTTTGTGTGAGGCAGAGCAGAGAATTCCAGAGGAATGCAGCCCTGAAAGGGTATTAATGCTACCTGTGGAAGAAAATTGCAGTAGTTTCTGAGTATGTAATGCAAACTGAGGTGCAGGTCTGAACAAGGCCAGCAGCAGAGATTATTGCAGCATAGGGAGCAACATGTGTAAGCATCAGCTGCCCCATTGAAAAGCCCTGTGCAGGACAGTAAAGCAGTTCTGCAGGCCTTCAGACCTGGCAAACTGACAGTATAGGAATTTCTGCCTAAGAGGATAGGCCCGTGCAGAACAATGTGGTTTTTCTTGTAGCTTCTCAGTTGCACAGCCTAAAAAGCTGTCTGTTTTCCAGTTTTACAAGAGTAGTGGCTGGAGAAGTATGGAGACTATGCAGGGCTGGAATGGTGGGACAAAACAAAAGTGCTGTATGGCTGAAAAATTCATAGGCTGGAAAAATAAATAGTGCAATTATTTGCAATGTTTTTATTGCCTGATGATTTTTCAGGTTGGGGCCCATCCTGACCCCTGACAATAGGGGACTGATAAAGTACCATTTGTTTTTTGTATTGAGATTGGAAAGAGCTTGGGCTGAATCTTACGAATCTAATAGTGGAGTTCTACTGCAGTGTACCAAAAGGGCAAGGGAAAGACTCTTTCCTGGGCTGATATTTGGAGGAGCCTTAGCAGTAGTTATGTTTTGTGAGAAGGTTCAAGAACATACTGTTTGCATTGTATTTAATATCAATTTTTCTGCATAGAGAATCTGTTAAGTCAGAACTGAGCTGTGGCAGCATGGCAGCACGTGAGTTAGCTGACTTGCAGGTGAGAGATTTCACAGCACTCAAACCAACCTCATTCAGCAGAGATCTGCTGTCAGTTTAGCTGTTTTTCATCTCTTCTGCCTCTTCTACACCCTATTCTGTGTGTTTCTTGTCATGACAAACATCTATGGTGTTCATCTTACAAGCTATTGACAGCAGAAAAAAGCTTCTACTTCATGCTTGTCAAGACTTGCCAGTGCACCAACTCTGGTTTTGTGCTTGCAAAGGGGCTTTAAATTAGGCAGGATGGACTTTAATTATTTCACCTGACATATGCTTTCCTGAGGTAGGGCATGCTTCCAGCCTTGCTTGCTAAAAATGAGGCTTTTCTTTCAATTGTTTCTCAGCTGAGTGCCTTCTACATGCCCTCTGGCTACCCAGGATGCTAACGAACATTGAACTTTACCGTGTTAATTGTACCTGTCCAATGAATGCTATATTTTCAGAGTTAACAGCAATGGCTTTGGACCAAATTGGCTGACTAAAAAAGGCAGCAATTAGTGTGGTGTTTTTTTTTTCCAAAGTGACTTTCTAAGGTCCTGAGGACTTTGGCCCTTATGGTAACATAATTCTTAAGTTTGCGGAGAGGTGAGCTTGCAAAGTAAGCAGTAATGTAGAGTTAGGAAGTAGACCTGATCTTTAGGTTTACCTCATTGGCAAAGACATGACCTGCACTTTTTGAAGTCAAATGAAGTAACAGTCCCTGTGGGACCCTGATTCATATCTCTGATGTGTAAAAACCCCTCTCTGTAGCAGAACTGGTGCATGTTTAGACCACGTTTCATCCTTCCTAGGCAATAAGCTTTCAGGGATTGATCAACTGGACAGAGCCATATGGAGTCACTGCATGAGTATCACTGACAGAGTTCAGCATCAGTGGATTTGCTTTATTTGGGGATCACCTGGCAACTGCTTTTCTGTTAAAGGAAAGTTCTTAAGGTTTTAGGAAATAATCCTTATCTGAAACAGGAACTGTGGTCTTCAAGTTGAGTCTGCTTTCAGGCATTAAAAAATAATCTCTTATCACAAAAATGCAGAGGCTGTGCATTCAAAACTGCAACAGTTTTGAATGAAGAGCTTTGTACCAGTTTCTCTGTGTTAAAAAGGGGCTATAAGAGCATGAATATTCAAATATTCTTTATCATTCCAAGTGTTCCATGGCATGTTGTATTCAAAACATCAAGCCACTTCCAAAAATCTGTCAGGTCAGAGGGAAGCTGTCTTTTAGTCTTTCCAGAGTCATTCCCTGCTGATTCATTTTGCTGCTAAGGTGGCGTTAGAAACAAAACACAGTGGAGGTTCAGTGTAGGTTGTTAGAGAAAAGAGAGGGTTCCAGATTTTGGTAGTTTTTTTGCTGCTTTGCTATGCAGCTCTGCTAGAAACATTCACATTCAATCTTAAAATACTGGGCTGCTGTGAAAGAGCTGCTGGGCATTCTGCTGGAAGTTCCTCAAGAATTCAGCTGCACCAAACTAGTTACAGTTGATTCCATTTAACTTTGTTTCCCAAATAGCACAATTAGTAATGGGAGCATTTAAATGATGCCCAATGAGCTTTTAAGATAGCATCTCATAGGTAACAAATGGTAGCTCGTGTTGCTGAACTGGAGCTCACATTGCTGTCGTGATTATGGTTCATCAGTGAGTCTGTTAGGCAGTGAGTGTTGGGGATAAATACCATTGCAACTACACTTCTGTGTTTATTTTTCATTTACAGCCTCAACTTCTGCACTTGCAGATTAAAGCTCTTCTGTCAGCTTAGAAATAAACCTCACAGTGTGAAGTTGAAGCAAACTTGCTTACTGTCTGAGCGAGGAATTGCGTGTCATTATGAATGCAAATTGCACTGTGTTTGCTGGTGCTGCTACCTGGAAGCTAGATGGGTTGAGTGATTATGGGGTGTGCAAAGCTGCCAGAAAATATCTGCTCCTGGGGGGTCTCTCGTGCTGGTGGGTCTGGACTAGTTTTCATTCACTGCAAAGTAATGATTGAGAAAAAGTTCATGAACTGATCTGGTTAGAGCAGGTATAGTAAGGCATGACTGAAGAGATGGTGGTTTTTCCTCTGTGAAAACCTCTGGCATCAGAAGAAATGAGCACAGGCAGCACCATGCTGGGTGCGTGTGGCAGAGGATGGGGTTGAGACGTACTGTTGGAGCCTGTGCAAATCAAGACTTCAGTGCTGAAGACGTAACTGAGATGCTCTCAAGGCCCAAGAATGGCACTGCAGTTGTACCCAATGGAGTGCAGCGTTGCCTCTCTTCTCAAGGCTTACATGTGTTTGCATTCATTTACTTTGCATCTCAGATCAGCAGTAAGACCCTTGGGAATTTCTTACCCTTCTGGGCAGCCAGTCCTGAGTTCTTTCTGTGGTTGTGCACCAGCAATAATCTCCTCAGCTTTGAAATAAAATGGACAGAGAGCAGGGTGTGTGTGCATCCAGCATTCATTGAGATCATTTCTATTTTCAGTAAGCGTTGACACGGAGTGAGAACAGCAGTTGTCTGCAAATGTTTGCAGGAAGGAGATTAATTTCTGTATTTTCCTTCCCCTTGTAGCAGAGATTGACATGGGCCAGCAGTGTTGTGGTGTTTGCTGGAAAGGATTCCTTGCTTTAGAGGTGGTGCCACCAGGAAAGGTAACAACAACAATTTCCACTGTATAATTTGGCAGCATCTTTTGTTTAGAAATGTGAACCCTGCCTATGCTTTAGTGGCAGCAAAGGCATTTTCCACCCTGTAGAAATACAAATCTTCACTGTCTCCTTCCATTCTTCAATGAAATCTCAGCATCACAAGCTCTCTCAAACAACTTGTCAGATTGCATTATGTGGTTAAAAATGTACCACTGAGGATTCATAGTGATTAATAGCCTTGAGAGGGGACGAGTATCCTAGGTGGGGACTGGGAAATGGATTTACAGGGAAGGAGATGAGCGTACAGGAGTCACTAACAAGACTGCATACTACAGATAGTGTGTTTCTCTTGGCTACTACTGCCAAAAAGCACTTTTGCATTTGAGGAAAATTCAGACATGCTACGCCTGAGAACTTCAGCTCTCACTCATTTAAAGCAGAGGGTATAAGTATTATTTGTTACCATCTTGAAGCTTGACCAATTCCAAGGCAAAGTACTCGTGGCTACATGATTCAAAAGCCACATGCTTGGAAGTATGATACTACAATATGAAGTATTCTTATGAGTAAATCTTCAGCAGCATACTAACAGGGCCAAGATACAGGCCTCACAGCAGAGGAATGAGCACAATTAGCCCAGCTGTGTACCTGTTACATACTTCATTGCACAGTGCTTGCTGTCATCCTTACATTCTCTGTCATTTGTTGAGGAGTAACACTTCACCTGAAGCCAGCTCTCTGCTTTCAGCTGGCTGCTGCTTGACCAGAGTGCAGGAATTGTCTGGTGGCATAGCACGTAGAAGGGGAAAGTTGTCAAGGCTTTTTTGGAGATGGGAGGTGGGGGTGGTGAGAGCTAGTTTAAACTAGAGAAAACTGCAGAGGAGATATTGCTAAGAGGGGGAGGTAAAGGAAAGCTGTGAAGTTCAGTGCAATCAGTGGGGGCATCTGACCTGTCTAGTCTGGCTGAGGCTGGAGCAAGAAAGCACAGTTCTGTGTTCAAGAAAGATTTCTCATTTTTATGAGCCAGTAACTTAACTCTTGCATGCTTGCAACATAGATGAAGCCAGAAAAGAAGCAGCCTTCTTGTAGGTGTATTAACTTGCAGTTCAAAATCTGCTCCTCTGCTTTGCATATCTTTTGAGTTATTGCTACTTCCTTGACTGTGGGAGGGTGATGTTTATTCCTGTTGAAGCTACAGAGCTGGCTGATGGAATTTTAAAGGTTTGGATTTTGTTGGTATTTTTTTTTTTTTAAGTAAGAATTGAGTGTAGAAATTGTTTCCTTTCTTTTTTTCAATATTTAACATGGAAGTATTAATTGTGGTCCATGGCTCTGGTTCCTATATGTCTCCAGCCATCACATGAGAATCATAAGGGTAGTTTGTATGTGGTAGTAACCTACACAAGGCTGAAGTTTCCTTGTAAAGAAAGGCTCTGCAAGACTAAATGAAGAAGCAGTGCATAGACCTGACCAGGAAAGCAGCTTATTTTCTTACCAACTCTAATACAGAGAGCAATCCAGTTCTGGTTTTCATATTCTGAATTACAGTGTGTGTATCTTGAAAAAGTATAAAGAAGGATGACACAATAAATGATGAACCAGAAAGTGTAAAAATCAATGTGTGACCAAAATGTTGCTGTTTAAAAACCTATTATGGGACTGAAGGGAGGATACCTCTGTGCTTATTGAATTAATATCAGTTTGCAAATGGTTTGCATCCTTCTTTGTACTTGTTCTTGTGAATAGACACTCTTGGGTAAAGCAGCATTCACTGGACTTAATTAAACGAGACCTTTGTGGACAATTCCATGTTCAGTTGCATCAGATACAGTAACCTCATGGCTTGTGTGTCAATGGAGGATGGTTATACTGGACTGAGAGGTCCTACCTGCTGTTTACTTTATGCAATGACCCATGTTGTCCAATGCAGAAATTCCCAGACTTACAAGCTCTAACAGATGTTACGTATGCCAGTCAGTGAATGTAGGACTGACTCTTTCCACACCTTGGGGCTGTTTGTCCATTTTGCCTGAATGTATCTTACATAATACTGGAAAGTCTCTCAGATTTATAAACAGCAGGTTTTGCCTTTCCTGCCATCTGTTTTGGGATGCTCGTTGTCTTGGCTAACCTCCTTCATGGGCTGCTCTGTTCAGGCATTGATGCACTAAGACAAATAAATGCTGAGTGCACCTTGTCCTCTCAGAGAAAATATTGGTGTGATGGAGTTACAAGCAGCCAAAGCATGGAGGGTATGTTTGGTGTTGTGCTGCTTGTAGCTTCTGAAGAGGGTTTTGATCTAAAGCAAGGTTTGCAATGCAGAAGAGTACTTGTTAAATGTAGAAATGACCCTACAGCTATGAGAGCAGACTGTTTCAGAATTATTTGCTGGCTTTGTAGATTTTGCTATAGACATTAAGCTGCTTTTTTTTTTTTTTTCTCCTATTGATGATCTTCTAGAGGGTGGCTTTTTACCCTTCTCCTCGTGTGGGAAACGTGCCCTTATTCCTCCCCACTCCCTTTTGTACCAAGGGGATGTAAAGACATAAGTTGCTCGTTTTACAGATATTACTATGACAGAATTCTTTCACTTCTCTGTCAGGAGCATATGCCAATCCTAAAAACAGATACAACACACATATCAGATTCATCTTCCAAGCTTTCCTCTAAGACCTCCTTTTGTTTGTTTTTTTTTCTCTTCCTGTTTGAATTTGAAAGTGTTGTTTTGACTGAGTACAGCAAATCTATGGGTGGTGACAAGAGGGTTCTGTTGCTCCCCGTGTCATCTCTCTTCATTTTTTTCCTGTCTTGTAAGCAGAAGAGAAAACAAATCCTTCCTGGCAGCTGGCAGATGACAAGGTGTTGAAATGAGGCTGCTTGGCACCTCACATACTTCTTGCTGGTGTGTTGCAGGGTTGCATCACCAACTGATAAGCAGCACACAAGGGCACGTATCTGGAATCCAGGCTCACCCTCATAATTCATAGTTTGCATGCTTATTTTTTGTCGCTCTTCCTTCTTCATTTGTATTTCCTCTTCTTTGAATCAGCGTTTGAAAAACAGTGGCACCCACTCTGACACCCACTGTAATACCCATCTGGCTCTTATGGGGAGGAGCTCTGAGGAGGGGAGCTCACACACTGTAAAGTAGTTTCTAGCATGTTATGAAAGTGGAAATTAGGGAATAGACATGCTTTAAGCTGGCAAGTCCTCCCCGTTTTCCACTCCCTCAGTTCTGGTTTCTCATTTGTAATCCCTCTCTGCTTTTCCTGCAAAAGGTCTCCTGCAGTCCCCATTTCTTCTCTAATAAAAGTGCCCATATTGAAGACCTGGTCTCAGGCAGCCCTCTAACAGTACCTACATTATGCATATGAAGGTCCACTTTGCCGTGGAGATGATGTCCCTTAGAAAATGAGTGTTGAGCATTCTACACTTACAGAATCACAAGGTGTTTAAATGGACTGGCTGTGCCTTGGCCTTCCAGATGCATTTCTCAATGCGTCCCTTTCCATTTCACTCTCTTAGTCTTTATCAGAAAATAAGGTGGAGAACTGTCTTCTGGAAAATACTTTTATTATCAAATTTTTCCTATGTAGTGTTATTACTCTCAGCAAGGTAATACAGATCTACGTATGCACTTGCTTAGAATTCAGTTGCACAAACAAAACAAAAAGAAAACAAGCAAACAACCCCTCTAGTGCAAATTAATGCCTTACATTAAGTTTTTCTGTTGTGTTTTTCTTTCTTTGTGTTTTCCTCTCTGAGTGCTCTCCAGGTTCATCCTTGGATGAGGGAAAGTCATTCTTTTTACAAAAATAGATGGCACTTCAATTTCAGACAAGCATCGTCTTTACAGTACAGCAGGAGGTTACTTGCCAGCCTCTTAAGTCCTTAATTCTTCATGAAATTCATGAAATTTCTTCATGGGGCGAGCCCAGTGTATACTTGGTATTGCACAGACAGGACATTGAAGCAGCAGAGGCTGTGTGAGGTGGAGGAGCAGCTCTCCATGAGGAGGAAGAAGTCCAGTGATGAGGACAGATTCAGTAATACATGTTCTTATCCCACCAACCTGCAAGAGGAGAGGATGAAAAAAGTGATGTTTGGAGCTCTGGGGGCAAATGGTCCATTTTGAATTGTCTGTCAGTCAGGTGAGTGAGGGGCAGTGGAGGAAATGACAGCTAAATGCAGGAAATCCTACTTACTTCCTGGGTATCTCCTGATAAACAGCTTACGGACCTCATCATAGACCCATATCAAGACAGCAAACGGTACAGCCACAAACCAGTACTGAAACCTGGGAGTGGGAGAAGAGATTCTCATTCAGAAGCATCTAACCACCTTTCTGAGGCCTCTCTCTACACTGTCTGATTTCACTAAAAGGAAATCTGGGTTTCGTGGTGTTCCGTTGCTCGTTTTTTTTTCCCCCTGTAACTTAAGCACTTAAATGATTAGAAATAAGATTAGGTCCCTGCAAGCTGCCCAAGTGCAAGTAGTTAACTGAATTAATTAATGAATTCCGGATACTATTCAGAAGGAAATGTTGCCTGCTGGCATTACAGTCTCTGAAGATGTCAGAAAAATGGAACATTTTTGACAGTGATATGTTTAAAATAGAAGTTGCTTGCATAAAGTTAAGTAGAATGTTATATAATCTCACCAAAATGTTGGTGATGCTGGACAAAATGTGGGGGTTTGTTCTACACGAGAAGGTTTCTGCATTCTCTACAGTAAATTCAGTAGAAAAAAAAGTAATGTATTCTTTATAGAAGCTGTGAAAATAATTCCCTTTTTGGTCAAGAAATTGCCCATCCTGTTCTTTGAAATGAATATTCATAAATATTTATCCTAAAACTGTCCTGCTGGACATCTTTCTCCCATTTGTGGGTTCAGGCAGAACGGTAAGTCCTTGTCTGTTAGTACGTGAAGGAAAGGGAAGCGTGCCAGCATCAGAACTCACCTCAGAGGTGTGAAGTTCAGGGCTGTAACGTGTCCAAGACCGT